TCTGATAGTAGCTCTCGCGCGTGGCTGCGTGAGGGCGTACGTAGATATTTTTTTTTGGCTCGTTGTCGCACCTCGCAAAAACGGTGCAAACACCGCGGCGCGCGGGGCTTTAATTCTACACGTCGTCGGGAGGAAGGAGTCATCGTCGTGTGGTTGGCCGCTCATCTGCCCTCCTCTCCTCTGATGATATATCCTGTATGGTCCGTTCCCGGCGACTAATTTCACCTGTTTCATTTTTCGTTTTTATATAATTAAGATTGCTCACACACTTGCGTAGTAGAGAGAAATTAATTGGCCGGGTAAAAAGTTTGGTGGTTAGGCTTTGCTAGACGTTTTTTGGTCAAATCATTCTCTTCAGGGTTTAGCGTACTCCACTACGGCTACCACCCCGGCACATTAAGTGTGCGTTGCTCTCCGTGATAGTGTGATTGTTGCTACCGGCTCGCGGCTCACCTAATCGGGATGAACGCTTGCGTGTTCTTTCGCGGTGATGATGGCTGTGTTCATCGACTCATTATCAAGAGCAGAAACTTATTTTTGATGTCATTTTGATTTCCTATCTCCTTTGGGTCACAGCCCATCACAACTTCACAAGAAGAAGAGCGCTGACAAAAGTGACAATTAATTAACGGATTGGAGCCTTCATGACAAAAGATCTCTCTCAGTTTTTCCCCACTGCATATGCGGCGAGGTCTTGTCGTTGAGTCGACCTACGCAAGCAGTTACGCGATGCAATTGTGCAAGGGACAAATGCTAGTAGTAGTGTAGTAGCATTTCTTGGCATAGTGTTGTTGTGTGATAATAAAGAGGTGCCATTTATTGGTTTAATTCCCGCCTAATCGTCAACGACTGAACAACAAAGCGTGCTTTAACGTACTCGCCGTGTCACGATCACCGTCCAATTAATTGTGACGATCGAGCAACGCACCGTACCATCAGCTGTTATACTACATACTACCATAGAGATTAGAGGCATATAGCTAAGATGTTGGATGTTACCGTTCGGTAAAAATGTATCCTGGCATGTTATGACCTTTCTTGTGTTTGTTTCCACTAGTTTCTCCGTTGTTTAGTTCTTCTCACGGTGTAATAATTTCCTCCTAACAGTGATTGGCACGTTGAGTCTTTGGCAGAGAGCTCATGACGTTTTTGCCTTGAAAAAAGAAAAAAAAACTCACTGTTTTATACTTTTATACTACTTTCATGGTCAATTCAGTTGTGCTGCACTGCCGGTGAAAACGAGAAAAACGATCGAAGTCAAGCCAGGCCAACAGCATGACCGGCCCGGACGTAGTCAAAACAGGTTAAACAGGCAGGCATAACCGGCACAGTTTGGTGGGCTGTGCACTGCCTCTACATGTTGACGACGACGACGAGCGTACAATACGCAAGTCTCGCCGCACGCACTGTTTGACACATCTCTGGCCGATTTGCTGCAGTCGAGCAGAATACTTGACATTGCAAAATTCTTCAGTTCTCTGTTAGTATGCGTATGTACAACAACTACTACTAATACTGATTAAGTGATTAGGATTACTAAAGATGGACAGCTCGCTAGCAAAAGACTCGGTATTGATCATTGTTTTTCTGTTTTTTTTTTTGGGTTGGTGTTTTGGGGGGGGGGGGAGGCAGTACATGATGGTCATCATATTCTTGGAGTAGCTGACCAAATGCTCTCCCATGACGGAATGCACGAGCGTTGTCTTGTCAGCGTCGATCGGGAACAGTCAGGATGTTCCCAGGAGGATGCACACGCATCACCTCTGCCGAGCTGTGCTGTGCATCATGCAAGCCCCCTTCTTAATTTTATACAATTTTTTTTCTTAATTTTATACCTACACGAAGAATCTAAGATGATGCACTTTTAATCTTTCTTTTCTTAGTGCGATACAATGCTCCGTACATATAAATACTCCAATCAACGGGAGAAATCATTCACACGTTACCAGTGGATTGATGTTTTCTTTTTCTGCCCCAAAATTCAAGGTGCATCTGCTGGCCACTTGCCCAGGTGTGGCTGCGTGAAACCAGTATGGGAAACTTATATGTCAGATGAAACACCATGCCGCCACGCGTGCGTGCCGACGCTGTGCATGCACGGGACGCAGCAGTCCAGCAGATGTTCGAGTCGCCACCGGAGAAATTCACGGCGTGCGAACGGGGAGCTGCTTTTGCTCCACGCCCACCTAGCGTCACCGTCTTCCGGCGACTTGGAGACTCCCATCGTTTGGCTTAGCCAAATGGCATATTTATAAATAAAAATAATTTATAAATAAAACTTTTATATACATGTTCTAAGCAAATACAAACAAATATAAAAAATAAACTTCGATAAAAAAAATTCAAAATCAGTTTCAAATTTAATGTTAAAAATTTAAATTTTGGTCAATAAGCATGAGTCTAAGAAAAATATGAGGCCGTCATTGGCTATCCTAATAGTACTAGACAAAGTCAAAGCTAAATTTAAATTTTTAAAATTGATTTTATTTTCTTAACGCAGTTTTCTTACATTAACTTTTAAGTTGTTAAGAAACATATCTATGAAAGTTTTGCCTAAAAATAATTTTTATTTATAGTAATAGATGGGGCTGTTAGTGAGTGCTGCCGCAAGCCTGCAAGCACCATCTAATACATCAGTATGTTTTCGTCAATTGGTCGCATAGTTCTCGGTTATATCGACAGATTCTCTCTTACATAACGATGGCATTATATCCAGCTTTAGGAAGTACTCTCTGCCTACAATTTTCTTTGGTGCGTGCCAAACATGGAGGCATCAAAATTCTTTTTTTGAGGGTATGAAAGCATCGAAACTAAATTCGTGCAAAACATGGAGCATCAAAAATCCTTTTTTTTTCGTGGTCATGGAAGCATCGAAAATTAATTGCGTGCAAGCGCAAAACATGAAACATCAAAATTCCATAGTCAAAAAAGGGCAAGCACTAGAACGATGGGGAGAGACTCAACAGGGAGTCTTTCTCTTTTCGTTTTCCCATTTCTTCAGTGGCCGCCTGAATGAACTGGAGACACATGTGTTACAGCCTTACAGGTTGGTGGAACCGTGGAAAGAATCGCGTCGGGAGAATCTTACTCAGCGGTCGTGTACATGCTGCCACACACACACAACTTCTCCCTGCTTTTCGTCACGTCGATTTCTCGAGTGGCTTCGATCGTATCGACGCGATTAGCAGCTTCGACTTGGATTTGTACAGCTATTACTGTGAACTTGACAGCGTTGCTGCTAGCGACTACCGAGACCCGGCCGCATTGCCGCAAAGTATGATGAACAAGAGCACCATTCATTGCCTAAAAGAATAAGAACTTAAATTTTTAAATTTAATTTTAAAGTAATTTTTACGATATTTTCAATACATTTTATATATTAGCTTTTAAGTCGCTTGAACAAATATATAAAAATTTTAGTTTTGCTAGCCATTTATCAACAAATTTTCTCCTAAAAATTTGACAAATATAAATATATTGTAATCGCGGTGTAATTACATCGTAACTTGTATGTAATTACAATATAATTTGTATGTAATTTTTAAAAATCTTACAATAACATGCTATTTTCACGAAGCAGAGGTCATGGACCAAATCCCCTTACTTGTGTATGCGTTGTGATTTTTTTCTTGTCCACTTGCACGAATCTTAAAACAAATCTAATAGTTTCAAAATTAAATGAAAGTTACATATTAATTACATTATAGTTACATATAAATTACAATGTAAATACACTATTATTGTACCATATTTTTATTTGACAAAATTTAAAAAAAATATCGAGAAATGCACAGATAGTCTCAAAAATTTTACACGTAAATTTTTTTATATATTTTTTTTGCAATAAGTAGTTCAGGTTTATAATTAGGTTTGGGCAACCAATGAGGCCCAAAACAGCTTTCGTGTTCTAAGAACTTAACTGGGCCGAATAGGCCTTCTTTTCTCTGGTCGTAATCCATATTCAAGTTGGGCCTTTATTGTTCATCACTGGAATTTTTTAGGAATAAGTTCACTTTGTGACCCTCAAAAGTGACCGGAATCTAATCCGTGACCATACACCACAAAACCGGATATCTCGACCCCCCCAATTCTTAAAACCGGTGCAGTTTGACTCCCTTAATGGTTTTGGAGGGCGGTTTCGCTGATGTGGCGCCTACGTGTCATCCCAGTCATCAAATAAATAAAAAAAATAAGTGGGGCCCACCTGTCAGTGACTCCACCCCTATATTCTCTCTTTTCTATCTTTTTTGATGGCAGCTGCGGCAGCGGCTGGACGAGGGGAGCGGCGGCGGCCATCGGGGCGCAGCGGAACCAGACTGGGGGCGGCGGCTCAACCGCGGTGGCTCGCGGTAGTGGGAGGACAAGGGGAACGACGGCTCTCGGCGGCGGCTCGCGGCAGTGGGATTCACTCAGAAGACGGGTTGCATGCGGTTGGAGCACGCAGACATTTTCCATGGATCTTCCAATGGATTGGTACCCAAATCGACGTCCTCGAAGTTTCACGGTTTCACCTCGCCGTCAAGAACGCTCTCCACAAGTCATCACCCATGCAGCCACACTGCAGTGCTCGTCGGCAGCGGTGGCGTCGCGCGAAAGCCTCGCCATGCACGCCGGCGCTAATGCGACCAACCACACACGCGCCGCGCGCCATGTCGTATAGCTGCGCCTCGAGCTTACATGGCAGCGGCGGCGGCGGAGGTGTTTGCGGGCGCCGCGCTTGTCGGGCCAGCTATTTCGCGCGCTTGGGCATGCCATAGCACATGTCCGTGGCCGCCGCAGCTGCCTACAGCGTAGAGCTTGCATGCAGACATTGACTCACGGAGCTCCTGGCCAGCATTCGTGTTGGGTTGGATTTCCATCCATTGGCAGGATACTGTCAGAAAACTCACGCGAACTGGCTCTCAATCTCACAGAACACACACACTGACGCTTGCTTGCAGGTGCAGCTACAGTTAACTGAACAATTTTTCAGTAAAATAGAGCAGAACAGAACAACTGACGAACAGAGTTTTCGCTGCGTAATGCCATGCAGCTTTTCCGGTTTTCTCTTCTATTTATTCATCTCCACACGGAGTTTGTTGCATGCATAACAGAATCACGACAATCTCGGATCATCGCAGCTAAAGAATGAAGCAAATATGCTAAAACAGAAAATGCTATTCTACCGGCCAGAATTCAGACTCCAACCGAACTCTACATGCAACAAAACAAAATAGAATATAAATGCTCAAGATTACAATCCAACAGCTACTCGTCGGGGCGGTCGTTATCGGAGCAGCGGAAGCCGACGTCGAGGAAGGGGCAGTCCCTGGAGGCGTAGAGCGGGTTGAACATGTCGCACTCCTCGCCGCCGCCGCCGGCGCGCGGCTCCTCGATGGAGACCCCGCCACTGAGGAGCTTCTTGGGCGCGGTCGAGCAGCGGAGCGACGCGGCGCACACGAGCACGAGCAGCGCGGCGCCGGCGGCCAACATCGCGGCTAGTCCCGCTGCCCCGGTGCTGAACGGCGCGAGTGGACGGAGCTGCAGCTGGAAATGGCCCCGACCCCGGCGAGCCGTCGGAGACCACGCTGGTAACCATGAGGAGGAGGACGATGAGCGGCAGCGCGGGCCGCCGCCGCCGTTCCCCTCGTCCTCCCACTGCCGCGGCCGAGCCGCCGCCGCCCGCCGCCCTCGGCCCGGTTCCGCTGCGCCCCGATGGCCACCGCTGCTCCCCTCGTCCAGCCGCTGCCGCTGCCATCAAGAAAGAGAGAAAAGAGAGAATATAGGGGTGGAGTCACTGACAGGTAGGCCCCACTTATTTTTTTTAATTTATTTGATGACTGGGATGCCACGTAGGCGTCACGTCAGCGAAACAGCCCTCCAAAAACATTAAGGGAGTCAAATTACACCGGTTTTAAGAGTTAGGGGATCGAGATATCCGGTTTTATGGTTTATGGTCATGGATTAGATTCCGGTCACTTAGTGAACTTATTCCAAATTTATATATTTTCGATGAAATTAACAAGTTTGGTTGAACTCAACTAGGCCATCTGCAAAGCCCAAGCTCAGAATTTTCGGCCTGATTTTGTCAGGTAAATGAAACGCCTTCTCTCATGGTTTAATCGCACACATGATTGGTCATTTGGACCGCATCCCGATGCTGGCGGATAGATCCAGCTATCGCGTCATGTGCACGCACGTGACAAAACGAGATGAGAGAAGAGGGAAAAAAAAAGGAGAATCGAATATACTGGTCAGATGTCCTGCTACTTGTTTAGTGATTGGTGATGTTTCTGCTGGCCAGGATATGCTTCTTGGTTCGTACCCATTCCTTCGAAAAGCGTAAACTTACTGCTTTTCAGCGTTGACATTTTCATCAAACTTCCAGTAGTTAACACTTGAGCTTTTAAGCACCACTACAGCTAACACTTGAGCTGTGAACTGAACAAGTCGAGTTCAAGCCAAAAAAAAAACAATAAGCTTTATTTATCTCAATTTTTAAAACCATCGAGCAACTTTCTGTTTAAAACCATACTCTACATGCCATGTACACGTACAGTACACGAAAGCACAGACAACATAACATGCGTGCTCGCTTCCTACCATTTTTGGGTTTGTTTTTCTTACCTAAATTTGGATCTTGAGCTCTCAAAGCACGCAAAGATCATGCTCTTTAAGAGATGAGCCGATCTTGCCATCCCATCGCGTTTGCGTAAGCCATCCGGGAAGAAGATAAGGTTTTCCTTTTTTCTTTTCTTTTTTTTTCCATCCTCCGCATCTGGCGGCGAGTGACCGGGAGGTGGACCCCACGTGGCCCACATGGCAGAGAGGGTTGCGCCTCAAACCGGTGGCCCACAGGTCAGCCTCCCCATCCACCTCCGGCCGTTAACCGCTCCGGGCCGCAAGACGGTTAGCGAAAGGACCAGCGTCGGGGATGGCGTCCACGTCACCGCATCCGACGGTGGAGATCGACCCAATCAAATCGCGCATCACACTTGGGCTTCCGGCTTTGTATAAAGCCACTTCGCCCACTTCCCACTTCTTCTCCTCCTCCCTCCCCTATCTCCTTCGTCTCTCTCTCTCAACTTCCACCACCGCATCGGGGATTCCTCCTCCCCTCACCTCATCGCCATGTTCCGAACCTTCTCGAAGCTTCGGGAGGCGGCGGCGCCACTCACCGCCGCGGCGGTGCGGAGGTGCTGCTCCGGAGGCGGCGGCGGGCGGATCCGCGCGGAGGCCAATTGCCCGCGCTGCGCGGCCCACATGTCGGTCCAATTCTCCCTCCAGCCACTCCCGACGCCCCCGCCGGCCGCCGCGGCTGGTGGCGGCGGCGGAGATGGGTCGCAGAGCCATCACCATGACGGAGCGAGCGTGTGCCCCGCGTGCAGCGCGGCGTTCCTGTTCCGAGCGCACCGGATCGAGCCCCTGCGCGGCGCGTTCCTCGAGATCCCTCCTGGCGTCGGGGGCGAGGACGAGGACGCCGCTAGGGAGGGGTTCGCCGATCGGATCAGGAGGATGATATCGGAGCGCCCGCCCGACGATTTCCCGATGCCGCCTCCTCCTCCTCCGCCGTTGCCGCCGATGCAGCACGTCCCGCCGCGACAGCGGAGAACGCCCCGGAGGAGACTGAGGGAGGACGGAGGAGGAGGCGGTGGCGGAAGCAGCGGGGATTCCTCGGGAGGGGAGGGTACGAGCGCTGCACCGAAGAGGGAGTGGTGGGGAGGGGCCACCCTGGGAGAAGAGCTTCCCACGCCGCGGGAGATGTGCCGGAGGCTCGACGAGTTCGTCATCGGGCAGGGGAAAGCTAAAAAGGTATACCCATTTCAGCCCAATTTCGTGTCGTTTGGTCTAAATTGAGGTGAGATCCTTGTGATTTGGTGCGAGTGTAGTCGTGGGCGATGCAATGTGCTTCCTTGTACAGCCCGGTACGAACAACTTGGCTTCGATTAGGTGAATTTTCAGGTGTTCAGTGAGCGTCTGTCCGAGTACTTGTCTGCTTGACATAATTGAGTGAAATCATGTCTGTCCAGGGCAATGCCGAAATGCACTGGACTTGAAATGCTACCAGTTCGTGCCTTAGCTTAGAAGTCACCGCTCTTGTTTTGTGGTTGCTTGCCGGTTGGTTCTCAAATGGCTCCCAATTTTCACTTATTTTGGTTTGGTAAGAAGGTAGTTGGATTAAATTTTGTTGATAAATTGTGGAAATAGCCATCACTGAGTCAAAGCTCTGGCTTTTCCCACTTCATTAGCTTCAGACCAAAAGGGCATGCTCCCTTGCCATGAAGCTAGAACAATAAATTCCAACAAGCAAAATCTTAAAATTCCATTTGTTTGGTCTAGGTTCTTGAAGGTGCTTGTCAAAATTGGGTGAGCTTTTGTTGATTCACATTTTAACTGTGTAAAGGAACCACTGCGGCAAATGCAGTTCCTTCATCTTATTATGGTGCATTAGCCATGTACTGTGGCTGCTTTTCTAGGTGTGCAGTTCATATAGTAGCTCACATCCTATCTGCGAATTTTGGTAGAGGGTAGAGACTGCAGGAGTCCCTACAAGAGTGAGTTCTGGTGATTGAGAAAATGATGGCTGAATGAATGCAGCAGTTGCATGATAGATCTCCATCAATGCTGCAGATTGCAGATCAGTAGCCCCTATTGGATTGGCAAATTATGTGGATGACTGTTTGATTTTTAATGATATCATGCTGTTGGTGTGCATGAATGTGCCATGAACCAAATTTGGCTTGAGTTACTCGTGCTATTTATAAAATCTGCAGATACCAGATTTGGCTCTTTTTGTTGGTGGCTTGATGCAGAGCATCTTGTTATAATGAACTGCAAATACTTTCGAACAGAACTTCACTGTAATAAGTACTACCTTATGATTCTTTTCTGAGTCAGATTTAATTTTGGCTTACTTATCCTAACACATTTTTTTAAAAAAATTTCAGGTCTTGTCGGTAGCTGTATACAATCACTACAAGAGAATATATAACGCGACTGTACAGAAAGGGTTAGTCTTTGTCTTAGCATGTCTGCATATTTTTGCAATTCTATGTTCTTATTTTTGATGCATGCATATGCTGCTGCTGTATCCAGGTGTTCCACCAATTCTGGGTGGCTAGACGCTGCAAGTGATGATCAAAATAACATAGAAATAGATAAAAGCAATGTGCTTCTAATGGGTCCAACTGGCTCAGGTCAGTGATTCTAAAGAAACCTTCCATATATTTTATATAACTTTTGCAGGAATAGTGGACAATGTATGAATAGATTTACTTTAAGGTGTAGCTGGCAGTGACATCTCTCTTCATGTTATCTGCTAACAGGAAAAACATTACTCGCCAAAACACTAGCACGCATTGTAAATGTACCATTCATTATAGCTGACGCAACATCATTAACACAGGCAAGTTTACTGATTTTAAAATGTGTTTAGGGAACTTTAGATGAGGGTATAAACTAAAACTGGCAACATTTTGCAGGCTGGATATGTAGGTGAAGATGTAGAGTCGATACTGCAGAAGTTACTAGTGGTATGTTTAGCTGGTTAATGGTTATTAATGCTTTTCCTTCAGTCAATTAATTGTATTATACATGTTCACTGTTCAGAAAGAAATTCAAGTCTATTCCATGAACCTCTTAACGTTCTGAATTTGTTTCCAGGCTGCTGAATATAATGTTCAAGCTGCCCAACAAGGGATAGTGTACATAGACGAAGTAGATAAGATAACAAAGAAGGTACATATTTTCTCTTGGCTGAGTAGCCTTTTGACTGAGAAGTTTCTCACCAACCACCATATTGCAGGCAGAGAGTGCAAATGTTAGCAGAGATGTATCTGGGGAAGGTGTTCAACAAGCACTGTTAAAAATCCTAGAAGGAACTGTAAGTGATCATGCATGTTATTGGTTCACCCTTCTTATCATTCCAATGCTTGGAATAATTTCTATTTAATTGCAGTGGATAAAATAGTAAAATATGAATTGTCTTTGAATTACTTGGACCTCTGATCAAATGACTGTCTATAGAAATTAAAGTGTTCACTTTACATGCATTATAAGGCCAAGGATTTGATTTATCAGGCAAGGAGTAGGCTCAGTGTAGTGCAAACCTATGCAACATCGTCATGGATTTTACAATAACAGCTGTTGTACAATGGATTGTCAACATGATCCTGATCTTGTTCACCTTTTTGCACTCTCTTGTAATTCACAGGGTAGAAATGGATGAAATTTACTAATTCAGTGGTAACTTTATTTTCTATTGTACATTTATGTAGAGGAGATAATGTAGGATGTTGACTGTTGTTTATACTTATATCTTATACAGGTTGTTAGCATTCCTGAGAAGGGATCTCGCAAGAATTCCCGCAATGAGAGCATACAGGTTACATACCCCACACGCCCTTATGCATTTAGTATTATATGGACGCAAAATGATCACTTAATAGTAAAATATTGAAATATTGTTTTTGTGTGTGTGTTTTTTGGGGATGTATACATAGTGAACTGAGAAGACTTAAAACTTGGAAAGCTTATTTTAGTTGTCAACTAGACTTTTGGTTGGTGTAAAATTGTCTCCACTCATTGGTTCTCTCAGAGAGTACTTTTTGATGAGAGATTTGTTCTGGTCCAACAAAAAGTACCTCGAGGTACCGGTACCCCACGGTACCAAATCGAACCAACGATCGGAAACAATTTAGTAACGTGAGGTACCGATACCTCGAGGTACTTTTTGCTGGACTGGAGCAAATCTCTTTTGATGATATTAGCAATGATCCACCGGCTGTTATATCAATGTCTAATAGCACAAAATATTTCTGTCTCTCGTTCTCTGCTCGCACGAGCAATGTGAACACTTGAAGGTCATTTCTATGTTGAGGGTTTTTTTGCGTGACAAGCCTATAACAGAACCTCATGCTATCGCAGATAGACACAAAAGATATTCTTTTCATATGTGGTGGCGCTTTTGTCGACTTGGAGAAGACTATTTCTGAAAGGTCTGCAGGTTTAATGATTGTAGTAGTCGTCTATTCCACAGAAATTGCACTTAGACATTTAGTGTCAATCAATTACTTGTCATTTCCATGTGGAGTGCGGACATTAACTCTGACATCTTGCACAAGCAGGCGCCAAGATTCATCTATAGGTTTTGGGGCACCCATTCGGATAAACATGAGAAGTTCTGAAGTGACTGATCCAATGGTCACTTCATCATTGTTGGAATCTGTAAGCATTTTGGAACCTTTGGCTAACTGAACTCCTTATGGTCTACTTGGTACCACCAATACCATGGAGCTGTGTTTCATCTTAAAAAAACTATCACATGGTCATGAATACGAAACCACGTGCTCCTTTGGCAGGTTGAGAGTGGCGATCTTGCAAGATATGGTTTGATACCAGAGTTTATTGGACGCTTGCCCATCCTAGTTAGTTTGACAGCTCTCAATGAAGATCAGCTTGTTCAGGTTAGCTTGTTCAGGAAGACTTATGCAGAGAAAAAAATATGCATAATGTTGATGGTTTATGCCTTTAATGTCATCTTAGTTCAAAATCATGTTTATTCTTCTCCATCACATAAACTTCTATGGCCATGAAGAAATCTATTTTATGTATTCTTTTGTACTTGCCTGCTGTAGCTAACTGAAATGATTTCATCTGCATTCAGGTTCTTACAGAACCAAAGAATTCTCTTTCCAGACAATACAGGAAAATGTTTAGCCTGAACAAAGTGAGTTCACATGAACTTAGGTGATAGGCTTAAGGTTTTCTTATATTCAGTAATATCTAATCCTCAATCTTGTTTTTTTCCTTCAGGTTAAGTTACACTTTACTGATGGTGCACTTAGAATAGTAGCCAAGAAGGCTATAGCCAGAAATACTGGTGCACGTGGTCTGAGAGCCATCTTGGAAAGCCTTCTATTGGAGGCCATGTATGAGGTAGCGTTCTATTGTTCTGTAAATAGTGACACAAAGCTTAGTTATACATTCTGACGCTTCTTTTAATCAGATCCCAGACGAGAAAACAGGAAGCGAACGAGTAGACGCTGTTGTGGTGGATGAGGAGGCAATAGGTTCAATTGATAGGCCAGGATGTGGAGCCAAAATTCTTCGGGGTGACGGTGCATTGGAGCAGTACATAACAAACACTAACATGAAGAATTCCATGGTAGGATACTTGATACAGTTCACTGAAAATCTCTTAATTTGTTATCCAATAGATCAAAAGCAATTAACTCTTCATTAAGTTTATCTCATAGTTGATATGGAGGAATCGTATGTAAAATGTTATAGGCTTATAGCACTGTAGGTGAATAAACAGAGGATTCGACTTGCTTCGCCGGGCCTAATATCTGTTTTCACTTGCAGGAAGCTAACGAGGGTTTGGCGGGTGAACTTGAAGATGCATATATGATGTCAAGATTTGTTAGCTTGTAATTAATTTGACCAACTTCATTCAACATGTAACATGGTCTCCCCCTCACTCACATCACAGCCGCTTGTTCTCTTACCATTTTTTTCTGTAATTTATTTTTGCTTGTTTTCTGACAAGCAAGTCTATAGCTCAATTTGTTGTAATTCATGTAAACAGGAGTTGCTTTTCATTGAGCAACCCTCCTGCAAAGTAAATTTGCCCCTTCTTTTTTTCTGAAGCCACCAACTGGGCAGTTTAGTTATTGGCAAAAGTATAAAGAATCCTACATACCATTGTTTCCTAGTACATGATATGGTGCCATTTTCCTGACATGATAAGCCATCAACTGGGACAGCAAGTTTCAAGTATTATCTGTGAAATAATGTAATGATGAATGATTTGAATGTCTTTGTTATGGATAAAGTAATGTAAAACACCTGAAAATCAGATGAAGTTCTGATTCTTTTTTCACGATAACTGAAAAGAAAATTTTAGGTACATGAGACTGGTGTTTTCATATAGCCATGTAAAATTTGAAGATCAAACTAAATATCAGTTCATACTTCGAACAGATCAAAAGAAAAACAAGTTCTGCATGAACCACATGTTCAGGTTCAGGCTTCAGACTATAGAAGTTGAGATCCTAGTGTGTTGCATAGTGGGCTTTATGCAGCCCAAACGCCATCTCAGGCGCGTAAAGCCCAAAGTGCACGAATCCCGATGCAAATCGGATGGTGATGGGGCGGCCTAACGCGTCTCCTCTCTCCTCCTCTCCCCGACGCTTTGCAGTGAGTCGCTGGAGAATAATCTCGGAAGGGTCTCCCTCCCTCCCACCTCCTCATCCTCCTCCCCTCCTCCGGTGAGCTCAGCTCCGGGAAGCGCTTGCGGTTGCGCGGGAAGCGCGCGGGCGAGGGAGGCCATGGCGTTCGGCGGCAGGAGGGGCTCGTCGCGGTGGGGCCTCCCGGTGGTGAGGTCGGAGGCGCTCGGCAAGCTGGGCCCCTCGTTCGGCATCGGCGCCGGCTGCGGCGTCGGCGTCTGCTTCGGCCTCATCGGCGGTAGGCAAGCGATTCGCCATCCATAGCCATCACCCGCGCTCCTCCTTCCTCCTCCTCTCGGGCACCTTCGGTAGGGTTCAACAAGGTGTTCGCGAGGGTTCTAGCAGGCTTCGAACTGCCTAGGCGCGCGTGATTGTTTCGTCCCGCTTCCCTCTCCAATCGGGGTGAGGCGAGCATGGGAAGTGCAAGTGCTTCTCTATTAGGTTTGTCCGGCATGAGCAAGTAGGTTAATTATCGGTGTTTGATTTGGAATTCTGGTGCTATCGCTTATCAGGTTAGCGAACTCAAATGGAGTAATTGGGGATTCTCTTATCACTGACACTTTCCACACTTCTTAAGCACGTGCACTTTCTCTTTCTCAGTGATTGAGCCATAGCCCCTAAATGTTGGATTGGAGGATTCTGGTGGAATCGGGTGTTTTGCCGTACTGTGGAGATTTCTGTGAAAAAACTTAGTGTTCTGAATTGGGCATACAGGTTTGATTCGGTCCATGTGAAAACCTGAGTTTATTGCCTTGGTAAACAACAGTGCAACCATCCAAATTTTGGATGCGGATGACTGATCATGAAAACTTACAACTCCATTGAAAAAGAGAATTAGATGGCATATCCACGGAGAAAGGTTCTGCGGAAATATTTGTAGACTTGACATGCCATGCCGTTCTGGTGCTTAACAAATAAATCTCGGCGAAAACTTAATTATTAACTGTAATACAATTGGAAAGTACCAGTGGCAGACTGGCACTCCACTTGCTAAGAGCCATAAGTCTTCCATCCTAGATGGGGAACAATAATTTAGATGTGTAAAGGACACTTCTGATGACATCAAATGTATCCATCTAGCCTAATAAGGATAATATGTGTTTGTCAGGACTTAAAACGTCTGAAAATCACACTAATATTGCCGTTCCAGATTGCCCTCCTCAGAGCAGTTTCTTTAAGCCTTCAATATTTCATTACATGACCTCTATGTTAACAGTAGTAAAGTAAGCTTACTGTGTAGTCATATTGAAGCTTGACCCTTGAAAGGTTGATGTTCTCTGCAATTTATGATTGCATATCAGTTTGTATGACTAAGATTTAGATTACTACGTGTCCTGTACATTTTGCTCATTTTTGGCAAAAAAAAAAAACCTTTTGTTCCATGTGCCAGCATTGAAGGTTGAACTGTTCCTCTTACTGTAATAATTAAAACTTCTTTTTTACAAAATTTACAGTAGAAGATGCTGTCCTCCTGAATATTCAGAAAGAAAATGCAGTTGCAAATAATAAACTATGTAGGAAGGAACTATGTAACTAAACCACATCTGATTTTGCATATGCCGATCACTGACATTGCTTAATCTCCCGTGATCTTGTTCTGTTCCCCCTCACTTTTATGTGGTTGAACAGGTGCAGGAATTGGGGCTGGATTCCCTGGTTTGCAGTTGGGATTGGGAGCTGGTGCTGGATGTGGGATAGGAATAGGTTTTGGCTATGGTTTTGGAAAAGGAATTGCATATGATGAGAACGGGAGATATTCAAACATCAGGAGATCATTTCAGAATTCCAGAAACCTTCCTTACGAGTAAGCAATCTCTATACAATCAACCTCAGCTCCTATTGTTCAACATCCTTACATCATACAATGGATTTGATCTGCCTATGTGTGACGGTGTGTTGTTGGAGATATCAAAAGGTCTGTACCTACTTTTGGTGGGAACTTTGTTGAATGTGTAGAAGGATATCAGTGTGGTCGTCCAACTGTTTTTAGTTCACTGTTCCTACATATAATTATAAAATCGACTAGCACGTGTTACCTCATCTTCATGATATAATTATCTTAAAAATCCTTTGCAGTGAACAGTTTGATATCCTATTTGACGAGATGATGGAGAGCACCAGGAAGCTGATCAAAGCGACATCAAAGGAGATCGATAAGTGGAGGCGGATGTAGATGAAAACAGCAGTACAGCACATGAATGAAGAAGAGCTTGATATCCACTAATAGCTTGAAGCAGTACAGCACGTGCCTAAGCGGGACTGAAATGAACCCCTTGCTTGCTTGATGTTACAGCGAATATGTTTTCTTCTTCAGGGATTCATGAGATATTCTGTCAAATATTCTACACCATTGGAGCCCCAGAAGTATTAATCTGCAACACCATGTGCGAGGAGATGCAACACCATGTGATTGCGACGCCATTTCGCATTGAAATATCCCCCATGGGCGTCGCTGTCGGTATTCCGTGCTCATCTGCGGAAACGCTATCTGTTTTCGTATTGAGAAATTTTGCAGAACTTACCTTTCAAAGGCTCAAAACACTCTAATCCTTCCATTACGTGTGCCTTTGTTGACTAGCAATAGCAAATGCTGTTTGTTTCGTGTTCTTAACCTCGTCTTAAGCATGCCACTTTGTTCAATTAGCTATAGCTAGCTTTGCTAAAATACTCCCATATTTTGGGCTCAGTAACATGAAAGTGAAATCCATCATAGATGATATATATTACTCCATCCGTCCTAAAATATAACAACTTTTAACTCTCAGGATTTGTCCCAAAATATAACAATTTCTACACCAACATTCTCTTCCCAATCAATCATAACTCTCTACCATTCATTTTTCCCATATACCTCCACTAACCTTCCACCATTCACTTCTACCTACTTTCTTAGTAACCATGTCCAACGGGAGTATTTATTAATTAATCGATGTCTCCTACCCTCATGGGAGAGGTTTGCTATTGAAAACCGTCAATGTTAACGCGGGCCTCGAATTCAATATAAGAAACTAAAATTGGATGGGCTTATTATGAATTTGGACATGCTTCATAGTAGTAGAAAATATCCGTCCTAGATTCTTGTATTTTGAGACGATAGTAATACACGTCTGGTTTAAAAAAGAAAACAAGGCAATTCTAGATTATAGGGTCATAATTTCCCAGCACTTCCGACAGTGAACCTCCTTAGGCCTCGTTCGGCTAGGGGGTAAAAGGCTGGGATCCCGGCCTATTTCCCGGCCTCGAAGGGGAAGCCCACCACGAGGGAGGAAAATCCCTGGGCTGCTCAAAACTCCATTCGGCATAGCCCGGGAAGGTAGGTTTCCCGGCCCAATACACCTCTAACCCCAGGGAAATCTGTCCACCACCCTAGCTCGTGGATTGAATCCCCTACGGTTGAGCCGCGAGCGCTTCATCTTCTTCTCTCAGTGAACGCCGCCGCCTCTCGCCGCGAACGCCGGCGCCGCCTCCTCCTCTCACCGCATCCGTCGGAGCCGCCGCCTTCAGACGGATCCACCGACGCCGCCTCCGTTTCTCCCCGGTGCAAGTGCAAATGTCTTCCCTGCCGCTGGCGCCGCCTCCCTTCTTCCCCAGTGCCGGCTCCTCCTCCCTTCCTCCACCACCGCCGCCGAGGATCTCAGGTTCGTGCTTCACCGTGTGGGCACATCCTTCTGCTAGCCTAGATCCACGGCACCAGGTTCGTCCCTTACCCCTCTCCCCGCTGCTGTTCGTGTGGCAAGATTTGCTGCCACTGTTGCTCCGTCCGGCTAGCATCCTCCAAGTCCTGCAAGGACCTTGAGGGCATCGACATCTTCTATTAACTCATCCTAGAACCGTCCAGGTATATCAAATTTCATCCTTGCACAATCATTATTCCCTTTCTTGCTTACTTTCTTGCAGTAGTTGTAATGGATAGAATATGAAGTATATATATCATGTGATTTAGTCTTGTAATGCATATTGAGTATTAGCTGGAAGGTAACCTGGCAAGAATTTATGTCAAATGCTTTGTAATGCAATTTAGCTTTGTACTAATACATAAGGGGAATATTATTCCAACCATCAAATGCTTAGCTTTGGAATCATGGGTTTTATTTATTGCCATTTGTTTTGAAATACAATATTTTCAGTTCTCAGATTGCTGGATTTCAAGCTGCAGCCACCAATTTCCAGCGCCCATCTATTTGCTAGCAGTACTATTTACACAAGCTATTGGATTAGTAACCGCACTCGATGATGTATGGAGTACAACATATAATCTTTTTAGGAAAGGAGCTTGCACAACAGATAATGCTTGCTTTTATAATAAATTTTGCACTTTTTGCTGGTTAATCTCTATAGGCAGCCACTTTAGCAAAAAAAAGTAATGACAAGTAAATTGTGCACTTAATTCCAGCATCTTGCCATAAATTGTATCACTAATTCTGCTCCTATTGCTATTCAATTTTTAGGTGCTGCTACTGCTGTTGCTGTTGATGCTGGCATGCTGCTACTGCTCTGCTGTTGCTGTTGATGCTGCTGTCTCTACTATTCACCAATTTTTAGATGCACTTAATCTTAGTTATTCAGTTTTTAATCATGTTGCTGCTCTTGCTAATTCTGTAGGAGTAGATTTCTTTTTCGTGGTCAGGACCAACATTTCAGCATTGTGTGTGCTTGCATGTAGTGCACTCACTATTAAAGTCTGTCAGCCAAAGTGAATTAGCATGAATTTTTGCAGCCAGTTTTCAACATTTTACTATTTTCTAGAATTCTAATAATTTTCTAGGCTTTTTTGTACTACTCATATTTTTGCTTATAGTTATGTTAATCACATTTTTTTCCTTTGGCAGTGATGAAGGTGCTCATTGCATGAAGATGGAATGACAGGAACGCCAACTTTAGACAACTAGATTTATAACCCTGTATTGTCAATAGAGCAGTGTTATATGCAAGTTTATGTACAATTAGTATTTGATGTCAACTTCTATAGATTTAATCCAGTTTGATGTCAACCTCAGAGTTTGATGTGAACTTCAGTTTTAGTCTAGTTTGATGTTGCACGGAGTACAAAATGTTGTGCTGTTAGATTGGGCAAGGCAATTTTTTGTGATAGCAAGTACTAATTACTTGTTCTCCTTGTTTTAACAGTTTCTGATGTTTTCTTGACTATCGGAACAATTATCTGATTACAAACAGAGACCTGCAGTCAATTTTTGGTTATATTTTCAGATCTTTTAGTCAGTTTTCAGAATGTTTCTGATTTTCTCCATTTTTTTTACGGTATTTTGAATTATCTGTAGATTTATTTTTTTGATCTTGTCATACTATTTAAATTCCGAAATTTTCTGTACATTATTTCGTATTTTAGCAAAAGCTTCTTTATTAAGGCTGCAAATGCTATTTAAATCCTGAATTTTCACTTCCCTGTGATGCAAGCGAAACTTCCAAATCAGCTAAGCCCATGGTGGAGGGGTATTGGAAAGGGATTGGGTGCAGGGAGGGGATTCACCAAATCCCTGCCTGGTGATGATTTCCCCAGGGAAAATACTACACACGGGCCGAACAAAGCCTTAAGGATGTGGTTAAACACCCACGGAATGTTGAAGTGCTCTTCTAGCCAAGTCTGCCTCACTCACTCTCCAAAGGCATACCATCTTTCACCATCAGTGCTGATCAATGTCATCAAAGTACTCCACCACAATTTTAGTAGTAAGTTGGAAGATCAAAAGGCATCACTGCAATCAGTTTCACCAAGGCACTACTACTACACCAAATACCAATCCGGATGAATTGCAGTTCTGCGCCAGCTTTAGGAAACCTGACGGAACTTCAGACGAGAAAAAAAAAGGAGTACTAGTGTACTACTGTTGTTCTTCTTCGCTGGAACTTCACTACCGGACCACATGGAAAAAGAGCAAGATGATGGCAGGTAATCTAGGGCAAAAGATCCATGACGTTTTCTACTACGTGGCTACTCTGGCAAAAGGCGTGAAATGGAAAGCCTGCACAGCACAAATGATTGAGATTTGAGAGAGAGAGAGGTTCAGAGAAAGCTTTTTTCTCTTTCTTTCTCCGGTGGTCATGCATGCATGCAATGCCAGATCACCCCTCCTCCCCACATGCAGCCATGGCCGCCGGCACTTTAATGGCCAAAACTGCCACCGTGCACATGATCTCAACCACAGCATCATGCCCAGCAAACATGGAAAAGAAACCACTCATCACTCGTCACTCTGTCACACATGCCAGTGTATCACATTACCATCATCTTCTCACTCCGTTCCTCCAAAAAAATCACAACTCACTATATTTAGATATATCTATGTATCTGAGAACATAGATATATCTAAATATATAATCAGAAGTTGTTTTTTATGAAACGGTCACATTACCATCATCTTCTTCCTCGTTCCAAAAAGATAATCAACTTCTGACTATGTATCTGAACATAGATATATCTAAATATATAGTCAGAAATTGTTTTTTTATGGAACAGTCATATTACCATCATCTTCTCCCTCTGTTCTAAAAAAATAATAAAAAAAATAATCAACTTCTGACTATGTATCTGAACATAGACTATGTCTAAATATATAATCAGAAGTAGTTTTTTATGGGACGGAGGGTGTAATAAATAACATGGCCAGTCATGCAGACAACAGTAGAGACTAGTAATAGCTGCTTACAATCGTCAATGGAGAGTTAATCAATCACCTTGATGGAAGCTCACCTCACCTGTGGCCATGCGGAACAAGAGGAGACATGAAAACGACATTGTATGAATGCAAATAATCATTAATGGAGGGTTGTCTCTTCAGCTATACTTGCTTCATTGCTTGGCTGTCTTGTACTAAGCACTAGCACACAAGAGCACCAGCCCCTTTGACAAATTACTACTATTTCTTTCAGGTACACCGACAAAACCTGATTATTGTCCGACACTTGGGATCCCAATTCTTTCTAGATTGGCCAAACCGGGCCTTGTTGTTAACTTACCCAAACCAATAATGTTAATATTCAGAAGTCAGATGCACAAAGAATAAATAATAATACCGTCAAACATCAAGCCCACAGAGAGGATCATTCACCCCCAAGGATGATAAAACAAGGCAGATCATGACAGGCATAGGCCAGCAGCACTGATGATCCCAGCATATGCATCACCAATCATCTCCAGCAAAGCACAGCAGCATGTGATCAGACATAGAAACCATGACCAGATTTGGAGAATAATAATGCTTTCGGAACCGAGATCACCGCCCTGTTTTCGCGCGCTTCATCCCGGTGGAGTTGAAGGGGGATACACTGGGGCTCAGGTGAGGACTTGGGCTTTCCTCTCTCAGGGTGCCATTTAGAATGGCCAATTCCCTCAGTTGTTGCTTCTTGTAGTAGTCCATTGACTCATCCTGGCAAAAGCAGGCCAGATAACACCATATTAATATTTAACATGATGCGTTTAAGTTATCCAAGATGATGACAGCGAAGAAGAGCGGGGGTGCATACAATTGGTTTGAGAAGATCCTCTAGGATAGTCACAGCTTGGTTTAGACGGGTATCAATAATATCTGCCGGGAACTCTGCTTCCACAAGCACATGCAGCGGTTCATTCAGGTGCTCATACCCAGGTTTATCTCTCAGCTTGTCCTCCTGTGTTAGAAAAACATCAGGGCATTAAGCTCTAAATAAACTGTAATGTTGGCTGGATACCTCTTCATGTAGAGGCTGGACCAATTTCCATTATCAGAAAAAAAAACTATTAACTGTATTGTGAAAGATAGTTCGCCTCATCCCACCAAACCATAAGCATCATGTCATTAGCATGCCCTAGACCAATATCTGGGACAACCGAACCCCAGCAAAACAACCTCAATGAAGTTCGAGCATTGATATCAAATATTTCTGGGCAATATACTAACAAGTTCATGATAGAAATTACATACTTACTGAGCCTTACGTTGCAGCTCATAATACTAGAATATCTATGCTATTGACATTGAAAATAGAGCATGGGTTTTTAACCTTAACTAGCATGATGCACAGCTCCTTCTATGTAACTATTGTTGTCTGGAGATTGTAATCTAATTCTAAGCCTTTAACCATGCAATTAATTGTATTTAATTAAGTAATGGTTGTATATCAATATGGACCAGCTGCAAGTTAAGATTAATTGCTTATGATATTGTAACGAAACAGATTAGGCGACATAATGATGACCATGAAAGTGAGAATGTCCTCTTTTTTTAATAAAACCTATATAATAATTAATAACAAAAACAAGTTACTGCCAAAAAAGTGTTTTTAACCAAACAATCATGTTAGAACAGGGGAATTACAGGGAACTACAGTGTGCATTTAGATACCTTAACAGAATCTTTCACTGAACCACGTCCCCGAATATAAACCCTACACTGGGTTGAAGCTTCAACTCTTTTGAGGGAGTTACCTCGTGGCCCCAACAACCGACCAACAAAGTTGTACTGAAAAGCAACAAAAGAGTGCAAACCATTCATGATCTGGCATAGCAAGAAAGCTAAGGGAAAGCATGAGAAACATTAAAAAATCCAAGCGTACATTAGGATACTTGTCGACAGGAACATCTAGCCTCACAACTTTCTTGACAACAGGGGTGCCAGTAATTGCTGGAGGACCATTCCAGCCCATAGATGATGCTTGCAGAACCCTCATATTCTGAAAAAGAAAGAACAAGACACCGTTATACGATGAGAGAAGCTTCAAGGGTTGATAAGCCATGAAGTGCCATACTGCTATGGGTGTGAACCTGTAGTCCATGTCATGAACAGAGTATAAAAAGGCACTTATTCATGCAACAACTCCTCTGCATTAATTACGTGGCAATATATAGAAACAACATATCCAGCATGGAGAAATAATGATCATGCGCTTTCAGTAATATAACTTAGGGCACACATGTTATTTGAATGCATCAATGAGACATGCAGGAAAAAAAAAGTCAATGATAACCAAAAATAGCCAGAAGTTGCATTACCTCTGTTTGCATCCCTGACCATCCCTCCAGATCCATTGGCTGACCATTCACTGGGAGGCCAGGTAACCTCAATGGGCTACCATGCTCGATTCTCTCAGGATCAACAAAATTATGGTTAGGTGGCAAAGAAGACGCCCGCAGAATCTCTGCATCAAATGAAACATGATCATGATGAGAAAATGTTGGTGCAGCCGCTTATAATAGTTTAACAATGGCAGTGGCAGTATATCTGCTTCCTATATCACGGAATGGGTGGGCGGTACAAGTTACATTGTTAGATTTGTATAATAACTTGAACTACTGTAGTAAGGATATAAAACACTTCATTCAGTTAAAGAATATGAATACAGTGCAGAGTGGACATTCTTACGATGAAATTTTTGGTTGACATAAATGCATCTATCGTACATAATGAAGTCGATTACATGCATTGTTAACGTAGCCTCTACTGGAAAAATCAACTTCCTGTGAATTATCTCAGGAGTAGACAATAATATATGTGGTAAGTGAACTGACCAAAAGAACATCTAGCCAAATGTATCCTTTGTAATATACTCTTCTTCTGAGTTCTGATCTATCAACAGTATGATACCAACCCCCGCAAAAAAAAGTATGACCCTAAAATAGCTGAGGTGACCATCAAGACGTCATAGCATTTACTATAACTTAACAATCTGCAACCTAGACGGCTCAAAGGTGAACTAAAGATAGCAAATGGTGGTAACAAAATATACTACTTCATCAGGGCATTAACAAGATTAGGTTTTTAAACTGGTAAGGACCTATATAAACAAGCAACATTACAGTATTCACGAAAGCAAAGGAAACCGACCTTGGTTCAAGAGCCTGGTGCAGAAGGGAAGAACTTGTACAAATGGAGCTAATTTCTGCCTCTCGGCAAGCAACTCAGCCAGATATCTGCCACACAAACAATCTCATCAGTATAACACTAGTTACTCTGACTTTACTATTTCCATGAGAGAATTGAAATAATTAAACAATATTCTAAAATATAGAACCGTAAAATAACTATAAGCCCACAATGTAATAAACTCAAAAATAAGAACTTTAATAAGAAATTATACAGCAAGATCCATAAAAGAATATGGAGTACATGCGGCTCTTAACAATGAGCAATCTATTACACACAAATTTTACATCAAGCATCAGCCAAACAAACAAAAAATGGCTCTATCTATTCCTAATAGCCATCTTCTACTACCCTCACTTGCAAATCTATCAGCAAGCAATCACGAAAAGCCCTATTTCCACAGATCACTCCTCCACCAACATCGGCAGCATTGATCAATGCCAAACATCACATCCAGAAGGTCAGAATTACGCAGAAATCTCCACCGATGGCACCCGAATCTCGTACCCCCTCATAAAGATTTCCAGAAACAGGATCAAATACCTAAACAAAACTCGACCTAAAAATAGAGAGGAAACCAATCGCAGGAATAAAAAAATAAAACAAAATCAAGAGCACGAAGCATGAACCCACCTCTCTCTTTCAGAGGAAGAATACCTCAAAGAACTGAGGGGGTGAGGAGAAGAATGGACGGGAGACGGCGAGTACTGCAAGGGCGAGGGTGGCGGAATCCTATCATCCATGGCTCCCCAACAAGCGGAAGGAACAACTCAAATACTCTCTACAAGACTTGCAAAGATTGGGGGGAAAGACCAAGAAACCAAGAACCGCAAAATTCCAACCCCCTAAGCAATCAAGAAAACCAAGAACAAGAAGAAGAGCAACCAACTACTAATCAAGATATGGTGTGGAGGCCCTTGAAGCCACAAAGGAAATCTAGAAGAGATGGGAGATTTCCAAGAACCAAAGAGAAGAAGAGATATGTATAAGGGATAGATAGATGGGATTCTTCTATATGAGAAGAAAAAAACAGGAAGGTAGTAATAGTTGGGCAATCAATGATCACAAGCCCAGGCTGTGCAGGGTTGGCAGCAGCTCTTGGTTTTTGGTTCTTGCTCTCCTCTTCTTCCTCCCTTTCTCCTCTCCACCACAGCACACACCCACAAGGGGGAGGAGAGAGAGGTAGAGAGAGAAGGGGTGGGTGGGAGAAGGGAGGAGAGAGAGGTAGAGACAAACCCAAAGGAGGGCTTTGGATTCTCTCTCCCTGCAGTATATGTCGCTGAAATCCAGATGATTGAGGTCTCTCTTCTTCTGGAGTTTCCCTCTGTAATTTTCACAATTTTTTCTCCTTTTGTTGTTGGTTATGCTACGTGTACCCAGTAGATTGTTTTTGAAAACTAACAGGGAGAATTTTTGTGTTCATATACAAACAAGTTTTGTGGACCAACGGTTTGAATAGATGGTGCTATTCTGACTAGTTCATTAACATTGAGATCGACAATAGGCGATTTTATTACTATGAAAACACACCGTGCTAAATATTTAATACTACATTTGTTTAGAAAAATTGTATTTCTAGTTATACATATAGAGAACTATTTCAAGAACATTTGCATCTTAGTCATTCATGTAACGTAACTCATTCTCATGATTATATTTTGCACTTTTTTAGTCGTCGCATTCATTTGGTGTTACATGATAGGTAATTATGTCAAAATTTTCTTTGTCATTCATAAACACAATAAATATACAGTTAATGGTCCATTTTGTCTTCTAGCTAGCATAATATTTGCTCATTAACTCTTCACCAAAAAGAAATGCTATCAAGTACGCCTATGGAAGATGATTGTTGACAATGTTGTTTGCTCTAAAAACCGGTTACATTTAGCAACAATAAAATTATTTTCTTACGCAACAGTTGTAACTTGTAACTTGTTACTACTACAAAAGACTTAAACATGCTAAAGACTTAAACATGCTGTTACACATTTTCTTTAATATAAATAACGAAGTATACAACACCAATCCAAAAGAATCCAAGGCTCTTAAGCAAAACCGCAAAACTGAATGAATGCCACCTAATATAACTAGTCGGTATGCGGGGTTCAGCATTGCTACCTCAATAAATAAAGAGTGTTTTTGTCATAAGCAAATCCTCCTACAATACCACGGGAAACATTACGATGTCTCTTGTTTTTTTTGTACCCCTAGCCAAATCACACAAATTTAAAAAAATCCTCACCGAGTTAACGGAATCTTGGTGGCCGTTTGGGGACGGCGTTGACTCCTATAGTAGCAGCAGCTGAATCTGGACAGTGAAAACCGTGCTGCTCCGTCTCATCCTGGCCGTCCATTTCTCCAGGGCGATATTTCGCCGAGCAAATTTGGGTTGTTCCAATCATTGGTCTACGCTGGCCACCTAAATCAACCATTTCTTTCATTTTCTCTGAAATTGTTTTTTTTTAACCTAAGCTTTGTGCGGCCGCCGCTTCCTCGGAATTAGGCGTAAAGAACCATTAATTAATAAATATATTTTTTGTTCACATTTCTGATATATTTGTCATGGTAGTTTGCTGCCTGCCAAAGCATGCGTGTAACCACTGTCATGGGGTTGGCCTTTCTCATCATTAATATTTTTTGCTAGATTTTTTTTTATAAAAAAACCAGTACTCGATGTACTGATGGACACGTATACACACTGGATACAATGGGACAACAATACGGTGTTTTTTTGTATTTAGAAAAAAAAATATTGGCACACGCAGAACATGCATAATATATATATATATATATATATGCTAGTGATCAGCAGCCTGCGAAAAAAAACATGAGCTCCAGTTAGGCACCTGGCAGGAGGTAGCTAACTACCTGAACCGGTTTTAATTGAACAGCTAGCTATGTGTGATTTGTATTAATCATGACCAATCATGGCTAGATTAATTGTTTAATGCGAAGGCTAATTTATGTATTATCGTGTGCTCTATCACGGTGAGTCGGTGACCATGGCTGGAGACAAACAATAGACTGATCATGGCTGGACTAGCTAGGACGGCGACATGGCCATTACAACCATGCGACTTCCGGGGTGGAGTAATTTGTTTCTCCGTGCAAGTCCTATTTGGAGAATTAATTCGAGAAAGTCCTTAATTGTACTTTAAAAAAATTGAACAGAGAGATATCTCTCCAGACATTTTCTTTAAAGAAATTATAAGTATGTTAGAAATTAAACACGAAATTTCAGAGTTAAAATTACACACGCATTATCAATGCACTATCAAGTATCTGGTGCATATCAGGTCCTTAATTGTACTTATAAGATACATAAATTGAAATATAAGTTGTTATACCCGTTCATCCTATATAAATTGAGAGAACGGGTTCGCATCCTGGACTGATCGTCCTTTGTATTGGTAAAAGAACCTCCATTCCTAATAAAATCGAAACCAAAATTGTTTATTTGATCCATTCTAAAGACATAATGATAAATGTATAGTACATATTGGGTATTTGGTATCAGTACGGTATCACATATAGGTTCTATATCGCTAGCTATCCACCATAGGGTGACTAACTGACAATGTTCACATCCTTTAAAACAAAAAAATAAGTGTTTATATGTTGTCCAAGAAATCTCAGAGATTTTCTCTGCTGTAATTTGCCAGTCTGTCGCACACTAATTAAATGTAGAACTTTAATTGCATGATAGGGATATAAATATATAAATTAATATTTGTTAACGTTTAACCAATTAAGATAAGTGTATGATGGGGATGCATGCATATTGTAGGCAGGGGTGGTTTATATATATATTTAAAAGTTATCAACATTTTTTTTGTGCTGGGCAAATTTACCAAATTAATTGAGGGGTATATACTTTCTTAGGACTATTTTGAGAACCCACTATCGCCATCCCAATTCAGTGGAAAGCTTAACACATTGTAGCGTGCGTATGTGTTGTGTCCCACTGCGGAGGAGACACAAGCCTAATTAAGGTTCCTTAATCTCTTCTAAACCTTTAGAGAAATCATGGAAAATTTGAAGATACAATAAAACACATGAGCCTTTGAGCTTGTCAGTGTACACCTCCATTGAAAAAGATTAGAGCTAGAAAGTTGCCACCATAGCTAACCTCGTACTCTTTATGTAATATTACATATTAACTTTCCAATACATTAGCCTCATACTTGTCCTTTTCTTTTATTATACATTCTCTCTCCGTTTTATATTCTAAGTCATTTGACTTTTTTTAAGTCAAAATTCTTTAGGTATAATCAAATTTATAGAAAAATTAACAACATTTACAATACTAAATTAGTTTCATTAAATTTTACATTAAATATTTTAAATATATGTTTGTTTTATATTGAAAATATTACTATATTTTTCAATAAACTTGGTTCAAGTTAAAAAAAATTAAAAAAAATCAAACAACTTATAATATGAAACAGAATGAGTAAAATAGGCGACGCACAGATATCCCACTTTATACTATCGTTCAAATCTAATTTAACGACCAGTCAACCTTATCTCTTTTTAAGTACCTATAGACTTGCGTTTTAATACTACGTACTGGCTGATTGACTTTTGACATAACGCAATTCAGTTTCACTATCGCACGCTAATAGTACTCGTACATCATTCACCACAATAAATTGTACAGTACGTACTAATAATTAGATCCCTGATTAACGTTTGGTATGAACCCAATTTAGCGTTTACTATAATTCACAACGACTGTACCTAATAATTATAAGGTTTAATTTAACCACTACTACTAATTATATAGTACTACTTGAATATCGACAAACCCAATTTTCCAAAGCATAGCTGCGGTAATTTCCCAAAACATAGACCATGTCATTGTTACAAATATATATAATACCTTTTTCCTCAAGTATTCGTTGATAATGTATTATTTCAGAAAGCATCATCAGTTAACCTAACTGCCTTATTCATCTCTTCTGTAGTAGTATTTTACTAACACTCAGCCAATCAACAAAGCCTTGCCGGTTTATATACGAACATGAGTCGATAGTTTTCAGTACTAAATGTCACTGTCAGACTACTTTTTTCTAGCTAAGACTAGGCCTTTGAGCTTTGTTACCTAACCCAACAGATGGCCGTCTCTTTATGAATGGGCCGAAATTAAAGCCCAACATGTATGCTGTATGTTTCCTAATTCTGCTGCCCATAAAATGACAAATTTGATACTGCCACTCCAAAATTCAAAATTGATAGCGTTTTAAGATGCCACTCCACAAGAGAAAAATGGCAACAATATGCATAAATAAAAATATATATTTAGACAAATGCATGTCAGAGCTAGCAAACGGAATACGCATATGCAGCACACTCTGATCATATAGTACCCACACACCATGCATGCACACCACAAATGTATATTAGGGGTGTTTGGGAACTAGGACTAAATTTAGTCTCTCTCACAAAAATATAAGTCTCTATAATAGGAACTTATATTTTTGTGAGAGGAACTAAAGTTTAGCCCCACTTTAGCCCCTCCAACCAAACACCACCTTATTCTTCATCATACATACGTATACGTATACGTAGGTCTACCAGCGTACTATACGTACAATACCACAATAATTATTGTCATCTTCATCGTCGTCGCTCTTACGGAATACAGTATAATTCGATCGAATGCATGCAATATTTGCATCCATGGCGATCGATCTAGAGGAGGCCGCCTTTGCCGGAGTCGACCTTGAAGTAGCCGAGGTGGAGAGCAGTCTGGTGGTGGTCCGACGAGTACTGCGCCGCCGCCGCCGCCGCCGCGGCGGCCAGCATGCTCACCGGCGGCGCCGGCTGGTAGTATTCCCTTGTGTCGAACGTCGCCGGCAGCGCCTCCAGCTCTGTCCCCGACGATGACCCGCCGCCGACCGCCGGCGCCGGCGCCATCTCGTCGTCCTCCGCCGCCTGCTGATCATCATGTTCAGCTCGCTCGGCCTCTGCCACCTGTACGAATGTAAAATCGATAAATTAATTACTGTCAGTAGTAATATCACTAATGACTTAACTAAGTTGTTTAATTTTTACAGTATGCAGGTCATGATTATTGACAGTGTAAGGATAACTCACCTTGGCTCTCAGGAACATGTTCTCGTTCTGAAGATCTGCTTCCTGCACGCGATGAGGAAACATGAAAGACATTGTGTGATCATGTACATTATTGCAAGGGAGAAATAAATTAAACAATAAGTAATTAAGCGTGTGCATATGCAAATTTTGATAGTGTATCTGAGTATTCGATTTAGCGAGGCATACCCTTTTCTGCATGTATTCGATCTCCGAGAACAGCAGCTCATGCTGAAAAGTGGGGGGAAAAAATCAGGAATCAAATTAGACATATATAGATTAATTAATCAGGGTGAAATTGATAGTGTACGTGTATTATTGTCAGTTCAGTATAATTAAGCAAATCCAACTATTAATAACCCCTGGTGAAATCATATTACTACACAAGAAATTTCTTCGCATAATTTATAAATCTGCAATTAATATTTCAAAGATCTTCTTGCATTGTTGACATATATATAATCCATTGATTATAATTAGCATGTGCTCATGGTGTCTCGATTATATATATTTTCACCTTCTTTGATCGAATTCGGCTGATGCCCTTTTCAAGCCGATTTTCAAGGCTCTTGAGCTCCTTTGCGGTCATATTGCCAATGGACTCACCGATGAGGTGCCTGACAAGATTATATATTGCAATTAATATATATGAAATATATGAACACTTTCAGATATACTATATACGCGTTCATCATGCATGCATGACAGCATGAGATGGATCTTTTTTTAACTCAGACATGAGACGCATAATATATATTGTGCTATAGCCATAAGCTATCACAATACGAGATGTTGGATTTAAGGGCTTAATTACCTGTTTGCATTCTGCAAGGTCTGTATCTGGTGGCGCATTTTTGCTGCTTCTTGCTGAAAGTATTGCTGTGTGAAGATACCCAGTACTGGATTTTAGAGGGCTCAAGATAACACACAAATCTCACAATGTATGTAGTATATTTAGTTATTTACGGGTAAAATTTCAGGCCAAATTAAATATATAAACGATGCGTGCTATATATATTATACATATGGATATACAGTATATAACCAATTAATGAATACAAAACAACTTACATGAGAATTGACGTCTATCACTGGAGCGGATCCTGAAGTGCTGGCAGAGGCTTTCTTGTACCTCTCGATTGTTGACCTTGTGCTGAACCAAATGTGTTGTCAAAACGAAGCAGTATAGTTTCACAAATTATTAAACCATTGTTTGATGAAAATTAGCAAATCTTCATTTTTTTAGCAGAAAAATGACATGATATATACCGAAATGGAACTGAAAGATAGCTTCAGAAACCAACTTCAGCAGAACATAAAAAAAAAAAACTACTAGTAAAATGCATGCTGCATGCATGCATGTATGCGTATGCTGTCCCCCTAGCTTTGCTAGAGCCTACAGCACAAGGTAGCAGACCATGCAATACTTGATACACATTCAAAGATTCACTCCAGATAGGTTTGCACTACGACGTGTCACAGATGTATATATATTTGTGGCCTTTACGTTGCACCAAAAGATGCAGAGGGGCCAAAGATACATCATTTGAATTAATACTCCATACTCGCTGCAAAAACACAGGCACAGTCAATGGCGTTCTTTAACGCTCTTTAGCACTGCCAAGGAAGATGAACAGGGACAACCTGCAATTTCCTTCCCCATGCAACATACATTCTCTCTCCGAGAGATAGAGAAATATCAGATAGCGAGTACTTGTCAGTGCACATAAAATGAAACGAGAGCTTTTTCAGGGGCCGGCTTGCCTGGCAACATTTCAAGACTGGCTGCCTGAGACATCTCAAGACTGAAAGCTTGGAATGGATTACTCCTTCAAGTCCCTTGTGTTCTAATTTTGACCATGGACTGATTGTGGAGGTATAATTTCATGAATGAACAAGATCTAGCCCAAGGCTGTTACAGGTTGTCCATTTCCAAGATCCACACAAATTGCACAGAGATATACTAATGTACACTAGTAATAAGCTCATAATTAAGCATCTGCTAACTGACAAACTACACTACTAGTCCGCCCATCTTGAATCTATCTCAGCAAAACATCTAAGCTTAAATGCTTTATGATCAGTCACAACTTAATTATACACACACACACACACATGAGTCAAGTGTGGTGCCCTTTAATTGTTTCCAATTAAGTTGCAGATAGCAAATTAATTAAATGAAGTGCAATGGTGGATGGGGATGCATGCATGATGCATACTTATACCTGTTTACATTGGAGAACTCATAGAGGCGTCCTCGGCTGGAGAAGACGATGAGTGCGATCTCAGCGTCGCAGAGTATGGCGAGCTCGTAGGCCTTCTTCAGCAGCCCATTCCTGCGCTTGCAGAAGGTCACCTGACGGCTCGTCTTGTTCTCGATTCTCTTTATCTCAATCTTCCCCCTCCCCATGTTGATCAATCGATCCACCTTCACAAATTAAACATGTACATGTACAACCATGCAACACCTCCCTCTTAGCAATTCATGGCAGAAGCAATTAAGCAAGATAAAGGGAGTAAAAGCGCATAAACTTATCAGCATATAATAAAGCAAGAAATTCCTAGCTATCTAGCTAGGAAAGCACAACATATATTGTTTTTGGTTTGTTCAGAGGAAATATTGGTCCAACCAAAATCTTGAATAATCACGGATTTTTACAAATTCATGTCTTATCGTTATTACTTAGTTCAATCGCTAAACTTCAGTCTCAAGTTCACCATTTGAATCTTCATCAGCATCGATCTGAAGTTCTGAACGATCTAACACGAAAAGAACCTTAACTCAAAGATTCAAGAAGGGGAAATAATTAACATAACTTCATCAAAGATGGACAAGACTTTAGAGCAAAAGAAGAAATTTCAGGAGCAAATTATCCATTTGAACACCTCATCCATATATAGCACTTGAAGAACCCCCCCCCCCCCCCCCCCAAAAGAACCACAAGTTCCAAGAACAAGAAGCATAGCTAGAAGAGGGCAAAGGAGAGAACCGCAGAAATGGCAACACAACAAGATCTAGCAAGCAGCTTGCTGCAGCTGCTTATGTTTCAATTTCCCCTTTCCATCAGCTCGTTGCAGGCCCTAGGGCTTGCTGTTTCTCAACAAATCTGCCCCAAAAGAACAGCACAAAATGGCGCAAAGAAAAGCAAATACTACTCCATCCAATCAATCTGCAGAGAGAGAGAAAGAGCTAGCTTTCACTACGGTTTTCTTACCGATCTGAAGATCTGGAGGGGGCTGGATCGAGCTGTGAGTTGATCGATGGGTGGGGAGTGGAGATTGGAGAAGACAACTTAGGGCAACGGCATGGAGAAGCCTTGGGCTCTGTGAGGTTTCCTTTTAAAGAAGGGTAGTCGTTGTGTGTGCTGGTAGTTATGGCTGATGCACATTATGCACTTTGGTTCTCCTAACCTTCCTTATTCATGACTTACCCAGGATGTGAATATCTTCTCCACTACTCCCTCCGTCCCAAAAAAAAAAACAAACCCTGGGTTTCCGTGTCCAACTTTGACTGTCCGTCTTATATGAAATTTTTTTATAATTCGTATTTTCATTGTTGTTAGATGATAAAACATGATTAATATTTTATGCGTGACTTGTCTTTTTATTTTTTTTTCATAATTTTTTTAAATAAGACGGACGGTCAAACGTTGGACACGGAAACCAGGGTTTGTCTTTTTTTTTTTTGACGGAGGGAGTATCTTAAAAGCACAGGCGTCCTTCTTTTCTTCCCATCTCAATGCCAAGTATAAAAAAACCGCTTCAAAGAAATTGGTGTACCAAAAAAAGGAACAAAAAAATTGAGCCGTGTTCATCCAATTCAGTCTCATTGCAACACACGGAGCCATGACTAGTGTAGGCTGTGAACACCTTAATTTTAATTTGACTAGAAGGTTATTTTAATCTTATTATTGTTATGCTGTTTAGTTAAAGTGAAATTCATTGTGGGAATTTGATTGTATATATATTTTTCTAGAAAATCATGAGCTGTAGTTAGGAGTCCGATCATCTCAAGTTAGTATATGAGTTTTTTAAAAAATATATCTTATACGGTTCCTTCCGTATTTTCAAAAGCAAACAAACTTAAAACCCGATTCAAATACGTATTTGTATTTCTAAAATCAAACAAACTTAAAAACCGACTCATACATAGATGACGTATGAAAGTACCGACAAAAACATCTTCAATTTTTATAATAGTAGAGATTAAAATTGTACTGACTATTGAGAAAATACGTTGTTTGCTAAACTTTCCACTGAAAAAAAAATGGGTGGACTCCTTAATTTGATTAAAATTGAACTGACTACTGATAAATTACTTTATTTGCTAAACTTTCCACTGGAAAAAAAAAAGGCAATCCAGGATATGCTTTTCAGCCAGCCCCTGAACAAAAATGTGAAAGTAGTAGTAGTACATAGAACTGCAGAAGCATTTTTAGTCCTTAATTAGAGGAATCAGGGTGCAGATATCTGCATGTCCACAAGGGTGCTAGTTGTTTGTCTGGCCAATTTTTTATAGGTTCCGATTCAATCAATTAAATTTGAAGGTGTCTGTCTATATATACAACGGTGTGCGGGGGCAAGTTCTTCATAACCATCTCAAACTGAACTTAATCAACGAAGTAACTTTCTTCACTTATTATATATGGACATCCCAAACTGAACTGTAAAGTCGTAAAAGCTGTCGATCATATAAATAGCACAGATTAAGATGCGTACACGATGTTTCTACTATGCACTAATCAAGGCTAAGCTTTTTCTGAATAACACACACACAACAGAGTGATGCACGAATTCAGACGCTACAGAAAAAGTCGCAGCTCAAGCTAGCCTTGTTTAGTTCCTCAATGATACTGATGATTGCCATCCAACGACCTGCATATATACATGATGTATATTTGATGACCTATTGATTACTATCATTCTATGGTTGATATGATAGCTATGGTCTGCTGCTGAATTTTTGAACTGACATTGATGCAAATATGGATGGAGATTAAGATTCAGGCAGCTGGTAATTAACGAACTCTAATATTTGTACGTTTGCACATTGGTCATGTATATATATATGTAGACAGACACAAACAGAGGGGTGCTGTATGCAGACATGCATATTCAGCTAGCACCACAAATCCAAAATAAAAAAAAACTAACACCACAAATGTTCTGATCTCTCTCCATTCCTAGCTAGAATAGATTCACACTTGCCATTTCGCTGCAAAGATACAGAGCATGCCATCTTGGCCCATTTCAGGCAGCTTGCTCACACTGCAAGGCTCTCTGAAACTTTACAGCCGCTATCTATTTTGGACACCTACCAGGAAATAACTACAGGATTAAATAGGATATATAGATGCAGGGGTAACAATTAATCACAACGAGTAAAAAACCATGAACTTGTAATGATTTTTTCATGTGCTTTTTTGAGGGTGAAACCGTAGAATTGAGAATACCCATATGAAATTTTCAATCATGAATTTACCTCAAAAAATATTTTTTAAAAAAATAGGAAAAAATTACCTAAAGATAAATCAATCGTGAAAGCATGCATTTCCCATAGTGTTGCACTGTTCGTCTTGAGCTTGCAGAAAAAGTTGTAACCAGATTTTCAGGACCCTTCATCAGTGCCATTCTTCTTTGCTGCAACAAAACAGCAGGTGACACTTTATATCTTCTCAGGCACATATGGCAAAATCTGCTCCCAACCGTAGGATCAGAGAATGAACGATCCCGATTTACCCTCTGTCGCCGCTGCCTTTCATTCAGATAGCTAAGGACACCTCAACATCACACCATGATTTCACCTCCTGACAGTTGCAACGCACTTAGCGCCCTTTTAGCCAAGGAAATGGACCACACCAACGTTAAATGGTGGTCAAATGCATCCACCCATTTTTTTGCCTCTTTCTTGTGCAAAACTTCCCTTTTTCTTAAGACAGTGGAAGCATTTTGTGCAAGTTTCCTAAGTTGCTGAGAAAGGAGTCCATTGCTAGGAATGTGTGATGCGTGAAGAAGAAATGGATCTTCAGTTGGATTCCTGGAGATGGAGAAGGAGAAGGACCCTCCTCCAATCCACCTCAATGCCCTACCTGATTTATGGGTGCATGTGGACCATCTGATGCAATATGCTCTGCCTCAATCAGAAAGTCCATCAAGCCATCCAAGTGCAGAAGCTAGTCAAGTTTGCTTATCTACCTAACTCTGTATTAAGGTGTATTTGCAATATTCCATATGAATAAGCAGAACATTGCAAAAAAAAGATTTAAGGGTTTTTTTTAAAAAAAATAAGGCAAGATTTTGCCTTGTGAAATTTCAGATTTTAGTGCAACTTCGACAGATAACCTGCCACAAATCAAGTACAAGCACATAGAAATTTTGTTTCAAGAACAACAGAACAAAGGCACTGTTTAGTTCCCACACAAAAAAAATTACACCCTACACATCGAACGTTTAAACACATGTACGAAGTATTAAATATAGGCTAAAAAAATAACTAATTGCACAGATTGCGATTAATTTGCGAGATGAATCTTTTAAGTCTAATTGATACATGATTTGACAATGTGGTGTTACAGTAAACATTTGCTAATGACGAATTAATTAGGTTTAATAAATTCGTCTCGCGGTTTACTGACGGATTCTATAATTAGTTTTTTATTAGTGTCCGAACACCCTATACGACACCCTATATAATACCCGATGTGACACGTAAAAAATTTACTCCCCTGATCTAAGCACCCCCTTTGTGGACTCATGCAAGATGGACTGCAGTCAGTGCAAAACCTGCAAAATCTACACTGAAAATAAAATGTGCTATGTGCTCAAGTGCACTCAAATGGGTACTACTACTACTTGTTTGTCAGGTACTGTCATTTTGAGGCCCTCTTTGTTTAGGCTTATAAGCCGACTTATAAGTCGAAAAGTTTAAGCCAAAACAAATAAGCGGCTTTTTTGTTTGGCTTTTCTGAAGTCATAAGCCACTCTAACACTATTAAGCCAAAAGCTAAGTTAGAAAAGCTTTTTTGGCTTATATTAGGTAGATGCATGACTCCACCATTAAACTTAGGACATTAAATCCACCGGCTTATAAATCATATAAGCCAATAAGTTGACTTAAAAGTCTAAGCCAATAAGTCTAAGCCTAAACAAAGAAGGCCTCAAGCGAAGGGGTACACCTCGATGAATGCCAATTTTCAGAGAATAGATGCATGACTTCTTTCAGCTAAATGAATGGCACAATGGAATTCCTTTGATTATAGGAGCGGCACTGCTTTGCTAATTTTCTGAAAGAACTGAAAACAATGAGTGAGAGATACATGAATAGTCCGCTGCATGATATCAATATGCACCGCCAACATGTTCATAATAGGCATAAAGCAATGCAATGGCAAGAAGATTGAGACAGTGATATGAATGTTATGAGTCTTATGACTAGGGATGATGGGAAGATGTGAAAGTGTTTGCGTTGAGGACCAAGGAAATGATGCTAATTAACAATGTAAAATACCAGCAAGATTCAGATGTGAACGTGTTTGCTTTGAGTAGTGAGTATGTTGGTGAGTTCGTCTTATTTAAAAATATACGTAATTATTATTCATTTATAGTGATTTGATTTATCATTAGATGTTCTTAAAGTATAACTTAAATTTTTATATTTACATAAAAAATTTGAATAATAAGATGAATAGTAAACGTTTAAAAAAATTGACAGCATCGTCAGGGCCGGCCCTGGCCCTATGTAGCCGAGGCGACCGCTGGGGCCCATGATGGTGGGGGGCCCATAATGGGTGTGGGGGGGTGCAACACCTAATTTATTAGTAGTATAGTACCTCATCCAATGTTGAGATCAATGATTTTTATTCGGAATTAAAAGTGTTGCAAGTGAGTTTGCCAGATTCTTCGAGATGCAGATTTCTATCCAAATGTTTCAGTTGCCTATCAAACTCTCTTAACCGTACTTGTGACAGTAACTTTAGCTGAAAGAAATTTCTCAAAATTGAAGTTGTTGAAGAACTATTTGAGATCAACTATGTCGCAAGAAAGGTTAAATGGCTTGGCTATGTGCTCAACCGAGAAGGATATCTTGGACAATATTGATCTTAATACCGTTATGTCAAGAAATGCCCGAAGAAGTCTCTTTTTCATAGGAAGCAATGAATATGATGGGGTTCTATTCTTCATAAAGTTAATAAATAATGATATTAGTTCCAAGTTACAAATATATTATTATTTTGGTCGACTTTATTTCTTGATAATTATCAGACATGTTAAATTTAATATATGGATGTATTTGTTTTCGTTTTACAAGTAAAATTAGCGTCTATATATATCATAAAATTTTATATATAACTTAGAGGGCTCATCGCGATGAATTCATCTAGAGCCCTCAAAATCATTGGACCGGTCCTGAGCATCATATATTAAGAAATGAAGGAAGTACTACGATAAATCAAAGTCTTGTAAGCACAATAATACAATATGGGGAAAATGTACACCGAGGTAATGCTGTTACAACTTACAACGGCATGTGATGCCTCCCTTTGGCCGGTCAACTTGCTATACAATGGAGATCTTATGTGTATATAAATAAAATGTAAATTCCTAATAGCTGTTGCGGTCCCGTAGCTCAGTCGGTTAGAGCGTTGGTCTTATGAGCCGAAGGTCGCGGGTTCGAGCCCCGCCGGGACCATTTTTTATTCCACAATTAATTCAGTGAAGTTTATTTTGCATTTTTCATCAATGTTACCCCCAAGTTTATTTTGTTTTTTCATCTATGTTTACCCCAAGTTTATTTGGCATTTTGCATCAATGTTTTATTCCACAATTAATTCTGTGAAGTTTATTTTGCATTTTGCATCAATGTTTACCCCAAAATTTTGTTAAGTTTATTTTATTTTTTTAATCGATGTTTATCCCCAAAAGCTAAATAACATTATTTTGCATTTTGCATCAATGTTTACCCCCAATAATTCTGTTAAGTTTATTTTAATTTTTTAATCAATGTTTACCCCCAAAAGGTAAATAACTTGTAGTTTTTTCCCCTGTTTATAAATTTAGGTCCAAATGTTCATTTAACCAACAAACCCAATATTTATCCCTTAATGTATATCACATATAGTTTTTGTTTCCTTGTTATAAATTTACCCCCAAATTTCCATTTAATCCATAAATAAATATATACATAAAGCAATAGGAAATGCTTTTTTTAAGAAAAAACTCGCATTTACTACCTCTCTTTTTAAATATACCATAATGTTAATTTTTTCACATGTTGTTTGATTATTCGCCTTATTAAAGAAAACTACTCCATATGTCTGAAAAATATTTTTGACATGAGGGAGGATGACCTATGAGGTGCTTTATGCTTAATTTGTATGGTTGATTAGCATATATTATTGGTTGCATGTTAGGCTTCCAGCTAAAATCTAGTATGCTTAAAAACAATTGAAGGATAGGTAATACTACCTCCGTTTTAAAATGTTTGACGCCGTTGATATTTTAGCACATGTTTGACTGTTCGTCTTATTAAAAAATTTTGTGAAATATGTAAAATTATATGCCTACATAAAAATATATTTAACAATGAATCAAATGATAGGAAAAAAAATTAAATAGTATGTAAAATTATATGCCTACGTAAAAATATATTTAACAATGAATCAAATGATAGGAAAAAAAAAATTAATAACTATTTAAATTTTTTGAATAAGACGAACGGTCAAACATGTGCTAAAAAGTCAACGGCGTCAAACATTTTGAAACGGAGGGAGTATTAGATCCATTTCAGAATAAATTAATCTATCACGAGATGTGATATATTCTTTCCTAGTACTACAAATTCATATTCCACTAATTGAATCACGATTTTAAAATTTCCACGAACCACCGTTGGTGAGCACATGCAGCCAGATAGCTCTCGTTAATTAATTTAAGTAGAGCGTGATTTTTGAATCCGATCGAACAGAGAACGAATTCGCCCCAAATTTAGTTGGAGACACGTAACCCGCTCAAAGCGCCACCGAACCATAACCAACCGCTCTCCCTGCCCTCCGGGCCCCACTCTGGGCCCCACAGCGACCACCCCCACCCACACTCTCTCTCTCCCCTCTTCCGATCTTATTTTTTCCATTCCGACCCGAAGGCCGAGCCACCAACCCCCCTCGCGGCCACCGACATGTGGGCCCTCACCCCAAACAGCGGTGGGTCCTCCTGCCTCCCGGCGAGGCGCACCCCGCCGCCGCTCGCCGCCGCCGGCGAGGCCGGCTCGCTGGCCGCGGGGCCCGGGAGGTGGTGCTCGTGGAGGCGTCGTCAGCCGGCGGAGCGGTGGCCCAAGCTGGCGGTCAGCGCGTCAGGGAGGAAGAGCAAGGGCGGCCGCGACGAGGGCGGCGGCGACGAGCCCAAGAAGAACAAGGCGGCGTCCTCCTCCTCCTCCGGTAGGTTCTCTCGGTCGATTGAAACCGATGGTGCTTCCGGTTTGTGCGTACTTGCGCGATTGGGATGGTGAAGGTTGGGGGGTCTTTGTGTGGGAAGCGGTCAAACCTTTGTAGATTCGATGCGGGTTGGAGTGATCGGCGCAGGGGGGGTGAGGTTTCTTCGTTGGAAGTTGTTCAAATTGAGTCATGAAAATGGTTGCGTTAGAACTTAGAACACTTACTAGACATGGGATCGAGATTGGGGTTTATTATGTATTTCAGTGGATTTCTTAGCCGTAATGTTTCATGACGTTTGGGGGTAAATTTTGTGCTGGTAATGAACGAATTCGACGTATTTACGATTGGGATATCTTTGGAGATTGAAATGTTTCTGGTGCAAGTATGGTGCAATTGGTGTAAAATGGTTTGCTATGCTTATTTGGTCGTAGAAATGATCGAAATCTGATTATTTATATGATTTTTTTCTCTGAAGGTTTCTGATTGCTTGTTTTGTATTCTAGCTTACACTGCTAAATTAGCATATTACATGTGTTTGGCATTTCTTATTTTCTTAGTATTAGTATAAAAAGACAATGTAAAGTGGATCATTGGATGCGAGCTTTATGGAATGCAAATGGATAACTTTTGAGTTATGTGGTGGTGGCACCGTGGCAGTTTCTTTCATTGTGTTATTAAAAATAATATATATTTCTTTCAATCCTCATAAGATACATGTGTTTTTTGTGGAAAACATAATTCATGAACTTGATTGATTAACTAGTCGTAGGTCTCACCAAATGACCAAATCGATAATTTCTACGTACAGGAAAAGGTGATGCGTCTGCTCCCAGTGGAGATGTTTCAAATAATGAACTGCAATCCAATGACACAATGTATGTACCTGGTAACTTGTCATATTGGAGAGACGTTAGAGCAAGCTTTGTGGTTCCAAAGGTATGGCCAATCAGTTTAAACTAATTTAATCTAACTGTGGCTATCCACTTTTTTTAATGTAAATGAGGTTAATAATAGGTCATCTGTTCTTTACAATATTTTCTTGCTAGATAATTTGCCGAGATTTTGGCTTCGCACCTTGCGTTAGCTCTATTCTAACGACTACATAACACCTCTGAAATAATTTGTTGTCGGTACCATATGGGAAAGGAAGCAACTAGTCGATCTCTGTAGTTTTAGTTGCCCTGTATGTTCACCTCAGCTTTATACCTATTTTTACACTTTCTGAAAACATCTATCTGACAACATGTGCTCTCTTAAGAATTACTGAATTAAGACAAGGAAACTGTATCGGATGGTCATGGTGACACCATCATGTTATAATTATTCTAGATTCAACTTTCCATTCTACTTTAGATTATCGTGAATTGGCTGGAACATTTTGAAATTATCACATGTACCTTGTTTTGACATTCTCACTGCAAGTAATGCTGCAGGATGTTTCAGCGTGTAATTGATAGTTCACAAGTATTCACTATGCTTGTCCTGAACAACATCCATTTTGCCCTGTCTAGAAAAAATATTTTTTTTCTCCATAAGCAAAGTAATATCCTGTCTCTACATAACTATAATTGGTGTTTTTGATTATGTAATACTATCTCATTGCTGCCTATTCTCTGTTATGTTTTCAAATCAGGTGCAAACAGTAGATGCACATACTCTACCACAAGCAGCTACGGATGCACCAGTGCACTGTCTTCCTCGGAAGTGGGCACATTCTATTCCAATGCCAGAATCTGGTTGTGTGCTGGTTGCTGCTGAAGAGCTTGATGGCAATGGTACGTTTGAGAGAACTGTAATTCTCCTCCTAAGATTAGGTTCAAGAGATGCCTATGACGGCCCATTTGGCGTCATCCTAAACCGTCCACTGTATACAAAAATGAAACACGTGAACCCATCGTTCCGCAACCAGGCAACCCCTTTTAGTGATTGCTCCCTCTTCTTTGGGGGACCTGTCGACATGAGCATATTCTTGATGAGGACTACCGATGACAGACCAATTAAGGGGTTCGAAGAGGTGTCGCCAGGCGTCTGCTTCGGTTTCAGGACTGACCTAGAGAAGGCCAGTGCTCTTTTGAAGAGTGGCGCGGTTAAGCCTGAGGACTTAAACTTCTATGTTGGGTACTCTGCCTGGGATTACGACCAGTTGTTGAGCGAGATTGATCAAGGATACTGGCATGTCACTTCCTGTAGCTCAGGCCTGATAAGCGACTCCCTTGCAACAGATCCTTCTTGCCTATGGACTGAGATATTGAAGCTGATGGGAGGCCAGTACGCAGAACTGAGTCAAAAGCCAAAGGAAGATGGCTCGTGAAAATTCTTGCTTGCTAGCATAGTTTGGCACAATTGACGTGCTTGGTTTGTACATAATTGGGAATAATCTCGCCCGGTCACTGGCCAGGGTAATTGAACAGTCCTAGTAGTAGTTTCATGTGGTCGTCTTTGTCCTCTGTATTACTTGAACAAATATTATGGAGTACTGGTGATAGAACGGTGTGGGCTGTGAATAATTACTGGAATTACATGCTTCCATCAATTTTCTATGTGCCACATAAAAATCCGAAATTGAGATAATTGCCTTGGCTCATTTGACCGAGTTTTCATAATGCTCAGTCCTGTGTTCATGGTGTGTGATTACTGATATTTACTGTACTTCACTCTCTAAGTGACTGTTCAAGCAAGGCTTAAGTGGCAAGTAGTACAACTATTGCCCGAGAGATTAAATCATTAAAATGTTTTGCTTTTCTAGTCAAACGTGTATTGCACAAGATTAAGCTAAACGCGTCAGGCACAAAGGTAGGGAGATTCAGATTGCGACAGTGAGAAGCAGATACTTCAGATGCGCCACAATCCTGCACTCACTCACGAACGCCTTTTTATTTCGTGCCAATACCCGCGTTCGTTTCAGTACTTGTCCTCACTACTCGTCTAATCCCCCTATTGATTAGTAATTCATTAATTCACAGTCACAGCAACGGCTATGGAATTAAACTACTGTGTGAAAGGAAGACACAGGAACTCAAAAGGGTTGAAAAAAAATGATAGTGGACTTTCTGACAGAACTGCAGGTAAATTTCAGACTTTCAGTGCAAGTGTGCAACTATTCAACGTTTCTGAATGCCCTGGAGGCCTGGACTTTGTTCTGTTCTTGGCGAGAGTAACTACAATTACTGCGTTGTTGCCGTTGTCATACTCTCTGAAGAGTTGGTCTACACTCGAGAGTCTACCGGTTTTGACGTGAGCAGATGTTACCTGCAGTACATTCACAACCAGGCCATGTAATACCAGAATTACTGCCAAGTCTGCGATGAATGCAGCGAATAAATTTGAAAATTGAAATTTCAGCAACGTCAAATTCGTGTTATGGAGAGTATGTAAGTTGCAGATAGTGGAAGTGTTTTACGAGTGCTGTAACTAATTACAGAAATTAATTATTATAAAAACAAATGACCAAATAGAAAGTCAAAAATCATCGAAGGGAAGTTCCAGTTTGGTTCTGGAACTTTCAGTCAGTTTTGAGGTCACAGCTATCGTCTTCGTCGGCGTTCCTGGCCGCAAGCATGGTCAACACAGCATCTTCTCAATTGCTTATCAGTGTTTTTTGAACTTTATTATTGCATCAGCCAATTAATACCAATCTTAATTTTTGTTTTTTGCTATTTTGTCACTGCGTGATTACATCAGGATCTCCATGTCATCCACGCTAATCTCCTCGGCACAGACGAGCTGCCGCTCGCCGCTCGTCCTGGCGTTCGCGCCGGCGGCATGCGCGTGAGCGCCGTACATCCCGCGGCGCGCCAGCTCGTCGTGCCGCGCCGTCGTCGCGCCGGCGCAGTGATCCGGGCGCGCGTACGCCGTCGCCGGCGCGGGCGCGGGCGCGGCGTCCCGCGCCGCCACGAGCTGCGCGTCGGCGGCCATGCCGGCGTCGGACGCCACGCGCTGCACGGACCGCGGCGACAGGCGCGCCACGGCGGCGCCGCCGCCGTACGTGGCCGCCGCGCGCTCCGGGAAGTTGAGCGTCGCGCCGCCGCCACCGCCGTCGCCCGCGCCTCCGCGGAGGAAGTAGACGGCCGTGTCGTGCGCGACGGCGGCGGCCTCCGGCGTGGCGTAGGACCCCAGCCACAGCCGCTCCCGCGTGCCGGGCACCCGGATCTCCGACACCCACTTCCCCCACCGCCGCCGCCGCACGCCCCTGTACCTGCACCGCTCCTCCTCCTCGCCGCCGCCGCACTCCGCCCGGCTCATTGCCTCCTCCGGCGAGCTGAGATCAACCTCACCGTGATCTCTCTCCGTTCTTGACTTAATTTCACCCTCGATTTGATTCGCGAGCGTTGGGAAAGCAAGTGTACGTACTACGCGTATATATATGCATGGGAGGTCAGCCATGGCGAGTTGACCTGCTAGCTCGCCGAATCGATCGGATTTTTGCTTGGGATGTTTCACTTCGAGAGATTTCGCGCGGGAAAAAAGTTAACCGTGTGTGTGTGCTGTGATATTTCTGGCCGGTACGTGAGCAACGTAAAGCTGAGGCGGCGGGGTCAAACCTCTCAGGAGGGTCAAACCATTGTTAATACTGCATAGTCTCTTGAGGCATTATTTGTATAATGGGATTGGGAAATGATTTCCCACCCATCAAAAGGTATCTTTAAATTCTAACCATTCATTCTCCATCTTCCATTTAGTCCTAACCCTTTATTCATTTCCCAATTCTAATTCCACTCTCCATTTCCCATTATCCAAACACACTCTGAGTGTCTAGAAATTAATTAGTTCAACCCGATTCAAGTAACTTCAATTATTCGGATTAATAATTTAAATAAATACTAAGCATATTCTGTGAGTTTTTAAATTTGTTTTTTCAGTAGGAAAATCATTTTAATAAAATTTTCTTCAAAGTGGTTCATGTTGATTTCGGAGCACCTTGTTGTTTTTTTTTTGCCAATAACAAAAAATTGAATGTACATATTTAACATATTTTTTGCCTGCTAAACACACTCACAGAGTACGTTTTTTTTAGGTATGATCACCTAGCTAGTGCAGCATCATCCAAGACCGTAGAGAGTTTTGCCTTGTCCAGTGATGTGACAAAAGACTACAGTAGTAGCCACTAACATGGGCGGCAATACCTAACCACACACCAAAAGGCATATTCGTTTCATTTAGGCGGAGAATGTCTGAATAATTCCATTCATACAAAAAAAATGATTAAAAAAACAAGCGTCCAACGAATTAAAAAGCATGAAAACGTGCGGCAAAACTGAATAAAAGCATCCGATCTGAAGTAGTCAATCCCTCCCATGTTGCACCGCTTGTTGGTATTGACCGGACCGACAGACCGGCTCCAGTGATTTCAGGTTGTAATATAAATGTCACCTCCGGTTTCATTTTAATTAACGTTTTAAACAATGATACGATTTACAAAATATATCTTTAACCTTATTTTTCTATTATAATATACACAATAAATAAGTGCATGTTTACTTTTATTATAGTGCTTTGAAAGACAAATCTATGTTGTTCTAGTTTCTTTAAACTAAATATTTTTAAAGTTATTAATGCTCAAAGTTATAAAAGTTTGACCTTAACCTTGTCTAAAGCGTCAATTATTATAGAACCGGAGGGAGTACATTGTATTATCCTTGACTTAATGAATTTCACTGCATCAGTATTTATCACAAGTAAACCATTTACTCCTTTTCATCAAAAGGAAGTGGCATTTTCTAATATGTGCAGTCAACAAATTTTAATTTTACTTACTAATATGTACTTCCTCCGTTTCGAAATATGTTTATTTTTCAATCATCACACACATACTAATATAAAATAAAAAAACTATAATCCTCATTCTTTATCAAATCCCAATGCAACTATTATTCGTTTTATTTACTCTCAATACAAGTATGTCCTACTTTCACAAACTCCGATGTAATGATTACTTTAAAAATAAATTTATTTTGGAACAGATAAAATAAGCTAAAAATAAACTTATTATGGGACATACGGAGTATTTGAACATTTCGAATCAACTTTTAAAAATTGGTCTATTTAGATTTATCGTTAAATATAATTATTATAACTTCACAACATTCCCCATATACTCATGGTCAGTAGTAATTCATAATCAATCTAATGCACTACTTCCTCCAACTCAGTCTCAAAATAAGAGTGCAAATTAACAAAAATAAAAAAATGCTTAAAATAATATCGATATTGTTTTTATGTTTCAAACATCGATTATTTATGACAGAAGGTGAAACCACGTACACTACTATCATGGTCAAGGGAGCGGGGTGCATGCAGTCATAAAAATCTTTACTCGTTCGCGGGTGGTGACGTAAGGATATTTTCTGTGACGGTGACACGGCCGGGGTAGCGTGTGGTTTGGATGGACAGGGAGGACGGAGGAATCGAGCAAAGCCGATACGAATCGAAGCTGTCACGTGTGGAATTGACCATCCGATCTCATCTCAGACCACCATGCACGTAACACGCCATGCAAGAAACTTTCTTTCTTATTGACCCCCCATAGGCTGGCCTCTACCTGAGACTGACAGTGGGACCCGCATGGGAATATATATATATATATATATATATATATATATATATATATATATATATATATATATATATATCACTGGTAGTTTTTTTTTTTGCTGGGAATATATCACTGGTAGTTTGACGGTTAAAAACGGGCATTGGACTATTTGGGGAGTTGTGGTCGGCAGCTCTCGACTGGTCGACCGGTTATTGGTCGGCTGTTAATTTGGACCCTCTCGTTTGGCTAGACATCGTCTTCGAGGCCTGGAAATTTTGTTTGAGCTCTGCTTCTCCTGTAGATTAATTCATGGAAGGTATATATGTGTCAATATTGTGAATTTTGCAACAGACCAATCATGTATAGCAAGAGTTCAAGACCAATCATATATAAGGCTATGTTCTTTGGTAACTCATTATGGAATGATTAATCAAGTATTACCTAATTTTCTCTGAAAATATATTAATATGTTTTTTTTAAAAAACAACTTTTGTATATATTTTTTTTTGCAAAAAAAGATATCATTTAGTAGTTTGAAAACATGCGAAAAAAACAAGATAGTTAGATTGGTGAGTTGGGAAAGTGACCCAAAGAACTCAGGCTAAGTGTCGTCCACTTCCTTTCTGTGGTGTTGTTTTGAGCAGGGTAGCAATGAAATGAGCTCAAATAACGTGTCACGTAACAGTATACCAGCCAAATGTTAAAGCAGGACTGTCAAAATAAAGCAGTTACCATTTTTTATTACTAAAATTTCCTTTTGGACTATCCTTATCTTATAATTTCACTTTGGCAATGATAATTTTACCATTGTTATATTTTGGATCATTCTAAACTTTCTTACATGCATAGGTAGGGGAGTTCTTTGGCGTGTAGAAGTCGATGTGCTCAAGGCTATTGATGTGTTAAAGAAGAGTTGGGTGGCTTAAAGTTAAACAATGATAAAAGAAGAAAACATATCGGCGCCGGTCATGAATTTAGGCATCTTACCAGTTCTATCGTACTTATTCCACTAAGTGCTCATTTTGTTTTAATATTAGTAGTCCTATATATTATTGGTATCATATTGATAAAATTGTTACGTATATGTAGAAAGTGATGGCAAAAATAGATTGGTGACAATGTGATTTTTTAAAATTAGAATTCCATTGCAATGCACGGGCAATATACTAGTATACTCATATATATGCATGCTAATTTAACCATTATAATATTAATGTAAATATTGCCAAGAGCACCATCCATCGAAAAAGATCACGATTTATCTGCTTCAGAATATGTAGAAACGCATTGACATGTACGGAATATTAGCAAGTTTTATTTTAGTGTAAAAGGAAAAGAAAACAAGGACGCTGCAGGGACCAGGAGAAAAAAACGAAACAAATAACTCAGATGATAGACGGCCCATCTGACGGGTCTATGGACCTATGGTTGGGCTGGCGACCCAACTCACAAGGACGTCACTTGCAACACATCAAACCGACATATTTTAAAGGGAAAAACTGTCGCCACTTTATTAGCGTTTTCGAAAGAAACACGCACAATTTGATCTCCGAGTCCGTCACGACTCACGACGCAGATTCACAATCGGATTCGGGACAGAGGCGCCGCCTATTTACGTGCAGACGCGGCCGCGGGCACACGGGAACATCACCATATCGCAACTCTCGAGGCAACAAACGCACCAGACACGATCGACTCCATCATCATGGAGCACACGAGCAGCACGTCCGCGCACGCCGGCGAGCGGCCACCGGCGCCGGCGCCGTTCGGCCCTCTGCCGGTGCTCGTCTACGACCACGGCCTCGACCCGGTCAGCCGCCGCCACACCGTGGTCCGCATCGCCGCCGCCGGCGGCGGCGCCGGCAACACCATCGCCCTGGAGACGACGCACGTCGTCGTGCCGGAGCTGACGAGCAACGACTACCACGTGACGCCGCACGGTTGGGTGTTCCTCAGCGAGCCGGCGGCCGCCGGGACCACGCGGCGGACTCGCCTGTGGAACCCAACCACCGGCGAGAGCGTCGAGCTGCCTCGCATGGAGCAGCTGCTCCCGGCGAACTGGAAGTGCTACCTCTCCGACGACCCCACCGCCGCGTCGTGCGTCGTGCTCGTGCTGGCCATGTCGGAGCCCAGCCTCCTCTACTGCCACGTCGGCGCCACCGCCGGCGGTGGGTGGGTCGCCCACGACTACGACATCGGCGACGTCGGCCTGCCGCCTTCCTACGCGCCGCCGCGGCGACAGTTCATCTCCCAGATCGCCGCCGTGAACGGCAGGTTCTACTTCGCGGACACCGGCAAGCTTGGCGTCCTCGAGTTCACCCCATCGCCGGAGTTCAGCTACCTCGACTACCCGCACATCGAGTTCCCCGAGGGGTCCAACTTCGCCAAGTCATTCCTGGTGGCGTCCCACGGCGAGCTGTTCGACGTGTACGTCTTCTTCAAGGGGTTCACGCCGGAGATCCTCGCCGTGCGCGTGTGCGCCATCGACCTCGGCGGCGCCGGCGACGAGCGGCCGGCGTTCCGCGAGGTGGGCGACCTCGGCGACCGCGCGCTCCTCCTCGGCGACGCCAACGCGGCGCTCTTGTGCTCGGCGAGCGCGCACGGGGTGAAGGGCAACCGCGTCTACTTCATGCACAACATATTGGAGGAGCCGGACGGTGGGCCGCTGCGCGTCTACGACCTCGGCGACGGAAGCATGGAGACCGTGCGGCCGTGCCCTGGTGTCTCGGAGCTCATGTGCAAACCGTTCTGGGTGATGCCCTCCGCACCATGATGTGTCATAGATTTCAGCGAAACCATCTTCCAAAACCGTCGAGAGAATAAAATTGCACCAGTTTTAATAGTTTGCGGGTCGATATATTCTCCAGTTTAGGGATCGAATCAGATTCGGCTAGTAGTCAAGGGAGTCACAGTGGACTTATTCCTAAATACGTGGAGGCCGCGTTCTCCCGAATACTAATCGAATTAACGCATGGGCCTAGCCCAATCTTTAGGTCAACGTGCCAGTTGGGCCGGCCCAACCGATGGTCGGAGCCAATAGAAGCTAGCAGCCTAGCACATTGACCATTGAGCATCGATCGACTCATAAGCCACCTATACTTTTTTTTTAATCTTTACACATGAGCTATGATCGTTATGTTTGTCTAAATTCAAACAGCTATAGTGTCAAAGTTAGTGGTCAACTTCTAAGTTTTTATGGAACTAGCATAACAACGATGCAAGATGGTACGAAAGTCGGTTTACTGATATAACGATGGTATGGAAGTTGGTTTACTAACATAATGATGGCATAAAAAGTTGATTTACTAGCACAAAGAGTATCAAAAAAGAACTCCTTTTCACTATAGTTGAAGTTTGTACAGGAGGTTTACAACTACAACATTGCCATCAGATTGCTTGCTAGCTTGACATTTCCCCAATGAATTCAACCTTTTTGTCTGATGTGTAAAACTTCTTAACTACATCATTCATACTTGGTCTTTGGTTCCTTTCTTTCTCCAAACACGACGTAGCCACCTCCAGCATCAACGCCACCTGTGAGTAAACGAAGCTACCATTCAACCTACGATCCACCAAGCTGATTACCCATGTCCGATCACCAATCTTCAACCCTTCCCTGATCTTCCACACCAACTGTCTCATCGCAATCTCCGCATCACCAACGCTATCCGTGGCCAAATCCGCCATTCTGGCCCCTCTAACCAGCTCCAGAAGCACGACACCGTAGCTGTACACGTCAACCTTTTCGGTTATCGGAAGACTCGAAACCCATTCCGGAGCCATGTACCCTCTGGTCCCTCTGATGCTAAACGAGGCGGGATCATCGAGATCCCTCCTCTGTTGCATCTTCGCGAGCCCGAAATCGCTGATCTTGGGCTCGAAATCCTCGTCGAGAAGTATGTTCTCTGGCTTAACGTCGCAGTGGATGATCCAGTCGAGGCACTCATGGTGGAGATAGGCCAAACCTTTGGCCACACCAACGGCAATGTTGTACCTTTGGTTCCAATTGAGAGTCTCCTTGGCGCCAAACAGCCACGTGGCGAGCGACCCGTTGTCCACGTACTCGTACACAAGCAGCCGCCGCCGGCGGTGGCGCTCCGAGCAGACGCCGCGGATTCTCACCAGGTTCATGTGGTTGATCCGGCCGATGACGCTCACCTCGGTCTCGAACTCGTCGTCCCCACGCTGCGGCGTCGCGGCCTTGAGCTTCTTGACGGCCACGGCGCGGTCGTCGCCGGCGCCGGCGAGGACGCCCCTGTACACGGAGCCGTACCGGCCATGACCGATCACGTCCTTGAAGTTCTTGGTTGCCTTCCTGAGCTCGCCGTAGGTGAACCGCCGGAAATGGTCGGTGACCACCCTGTACCCTTCCTCCGCCGCCCATTGCTCCGACGTCGCCGGCCGGCTCCTCGCCGTGAACCACCACCCGAAGGCGATGAAGCAGAGCTCCACGGCGAAGAACGCCGAGAGGAACCCGTAGTAGTAGCGCCACGACGACGTGTCCGGGGAGGCGGCCGAGAAGGAGAGGAGAACCTCCTCTGTTCGCGCGGCGTCGCAGGCGAGATTAACGGCGGCGGCGGCGGCCGGGGCGGCGGTGTAGGTGTCTGACTCCGCCACCAAGTTCGCCGGAAGCTTGAGGTACACCGTGCCGGGGTAGCCGGGGTAGGTCTTGCCGTTGAAGAGCGCCGACTTGAGGTAGCAGTCGCTGACGTCATCCTTGTACTCGAACGCCACGCAGTTGCAGAGCTCGAGGCACGCCGCCTTGCATCCGTCGACGGAGATGGAGGAGAAGAGGTTGAGGTCGGAGCCCCAGAAGTCTGTTTGCGGCAGCCGCGCGAAGCCCATCTCCGGCCGGCCACCGCCGCCGCCGCAGGTGAGGTTGAACGTCGGCCGGCAGCCCTTGCCGCGGTCGCCGGCGTCGGCGGGAACGTAGCCTGGAGGGCACGAGCATGCCGGCCGCGGCGTGTACACGCAGAGGCCGTTCCAGCCGCAGAGGCCATGGATGCCGCACGGCTGGGAGAAGGCCATCCAAGAAACCGACCACCCCCCGTCGGCGTCGCGCAGGCTGTACAGCCGGAGGTTGCCGTCGTGGTCCAGCGTCAGCCGCCGCCACGTGACGCCGCCGGCGGCGGCGCCCGTGTCGGACGCGACGAACGTGGTGTTGTCGCTGGCGAGGAACCTGCCGGCGTCGTCGAGCACGCCCCGGCGGCTGGCGTTGTAGGAGATCCTGCCGTTGGCCCAGCTGCTGGCGTCGGGGTCCGGCCAGTAGATGTTGGAGATGTCCGGGCCGTCGTACGCCAGCGAGAGGAGGTAGCGGTCGTCGAACCGGAGCGCGTAGTGGCTCGTCGGGTGGAGCACGTCCGTCGTGGACAGCCTCGCCGTCGCCGTCACCGGCTGCCCCGGCAGCAGCGTGTCGGTCGGGTAGTCGAAGCTCTGCCACAACACGTCCCCGCCATGGCTTGTCACGACGAGGTTGCCGGAGTCCGTCAGCTCCGCGGCGGCGGCGGCGCCGGAGCTCGAGTTGGTCTGCCACACCGGCGTGCCGTCGTAGTCGGCGAGCACGAGGCGGCCGTCTCGCCGCAGCGTGAGCTTCGACCCCGCGCCGTGCACCGGCCGGTCGCGGTTGGCCGTCCAGGCGACGGTCCGGCCGGCGGAGGCGGCGAACCAGATGGAGACGGTGAAGACGGTGGAGGAGAGGTTGTAGAAGCCGAACGCGAAGACGCCATTGGAGGACACGAGGATGTCGGAGGCGCGTTCCACGGAGAGCGATTCACCTCTTTGAAGGCGGCTGCCGCCATGAGCCGGAGAAAGAAGAAGAAGAGCAGAGAACAAGAACGCGAGGAGCATGATCAATGGAGGATTGTCCGCCATGGCTGGCATCAATCCTGCACCACCGAAGCTAATAGCTGCAGCTGCTGTAAACTAAGGTGAAATCTCGCATCTCAGTTAGTTATGAATTCTAACAACCCAAGGACCCAAAATTGCAGTACTAATTAGGAGTATGTCATTGTGTCAGCGCTAATGACCATTGCTTGGTGTTAATTGTGTCAACTCGGCGGCAATTGAACAATGGATAGGTAGCTTTAGAGAACTGACTTGTTAAGAAACTACTAAAGAACACGTTTTTCAAAAATGAAAAAATTATCCATATGCGTCGTTTTTTCCCAGCTGTCAGTTGAGAACCTGAGATCACCCGTGTTATCCAGGGAGAATTTTCACTTACCTACTCAATAAGAACTCTTTGTTTGACTTTTTATTTTGCAGAGCTCATTGTTTGACTTGACAGCCATGCTACGCTGATGACTAGTATTAAACTAGTAGGAATTGCTGTGCAAACAATTTTCGGTATAGAAGATTCTTTGCTAAACCGTAGTTTTAGCGTCCGGTATTATGAATGTGTAAAACAAGAACTCATGGAGCTTTCTTGACCTCTTGACGAGAACAGTACTGTAGAATTCCGTTCATCAAACAAATATGAAGGATGGAGCACAGCTGAAGAGATCTTGGACGAAGGACTAATTTGGACGAGTCAGAGGAAAATAGCATATTTGATATCTCAAGTGAAGACTGAAACCAAAATCTGTAACACCTACACATCTGTTCATTGCATGAGAACATAATTACAGGTTTTTCCTCCAAGAACTGCAGCCGACTGTCATGTTACATACAAGATCGAAGAATCAAATGAATGAACAAATGACCCACACACAACAATGTTGGCAGTTAGCTTGATCCCTCGCTGAAGTTTTTTCAGCTCTTCATATTCTACAAAACTGAATACAAGTTTGTGTTGATGCCTTTCATGTGTCTTCTCTCTTCATGTAATGTATTGTCTACCCTACGCACGTACAGTAGTACTGCATAGTGCAGAAGCTGTTTTGGGGCTTCTGCACCTCAATTCTGCATCCCTCTTATGGTAGCCTCGATGCGGAAGGTTGATGAGAGAATTCTAAATAGCCCATCAGGGTTATCTGCATGAACCTGAAAGGAGATAAGACCACAATTAAATCTTATTTATTGTCAGTAAATCTGTATTATATGCAACATCATAATTAGCACAGGTATGTCAGATGGTTATGACCCTGACCCATGAGCACATGGTTAATATAAGGGTATCTAATCTAAGCTGTAGTAAAGAATACTACTTTTTCATCACAGTACTATCTTATGGAGAATGCTGCCAGAAGATCTAGGAGTAATTACAAGGATATAGTAAGCATACCCAATGTCCAGCATCTTCAAGCACGTGCATTTCAACTCCTCCACCCTCATCTGCAGCCAGTTCCTCAGCAGTATGAATTCTCTGGAGATCATCAAGAGCCCATCTATGCAAACTTCTTTCAGCTTTAAGGAAATTAATATGAACACCCCTTGGTACATTCTCTACAATCCCCCTGAACGGCACATCCAAATAGTTTATAGCTTAATAGACAATACATGTTGCAGGTCTAGATGATTACAAAAAGGAATCATGAAGGATTTACCATAAGTTAGTCTCTTCATAGGACTTGTACATGTCAGATATGCCATTTAGGTCAAAAATCCATGAGAAGCTTGAAGACGATAGTGACCCTAATGGACTGCTTCGTCGGAGATTTGTAGCCACCCACTGAAACAAAGAATCAGTTATGCATTGAAATGCCTTTTGTTTCATGGCAGATGAAAAATCAAGTGACGTTTTTATGCCAGTCAAATCAAGTAAGCTTGGCAGGGTGCCTTGACATCAGGGGAGTATTCAAGCATACCCGTGCAACATCCACAGAAAATTGTTCTTTGACTAGAGCATCCACCACTTCTTGCTTTGAAGAAACCTGGGTTTAAAGTTCAGAAAACAGAAAGCATATGGTGAAACATATAGCATCCACTTCTGCAGACTCAATTTTGCAGTCATATAGGTGTACATATAACGCTAAAAGGCCAACCTGCATAGGCATTCTTCTGAGGGACTCAATAAGTTCAGCAGGGTGATCTTCGCCATCTCCCCCAGCACGAACCTTGCCAGGAGTAGCATCAAGAACCCATACCTTTAGGGGACACAATATACAGAATAAACTTAGACAAAAGATTAGAAATATCACCCATAATTGTCACACTAAAACCATTCAGAAAAGTACTCATGATTACCCTGACAGGACGTGCAAGCGGTTTTGCAGCTTGTTCTACCATGCTCAGAGCCACTGCAAAGAAAATCCGTGAGGACTGGGATGCTCGTGGATTATTTACAATCTAAATCATACCATAAATGTATGGTAAGGGGAGACAAAGGAAACAGGAAAACCTTTTCCACCAAAGCTGTGACCAACCAGCACCCGTGGGGTTAGCCTGAGCTGCACTATCTGTTGCATTTTGGATTAATTAGCATAAGGTGACAGATAAATGGGAAAAAGGCTGAGGTGAACTGAAAGCTACTAAGATATAAAATAACAAGAAATGAAAGCCCAGTCCCAGGAAAACCTTTTGGACAATGACATGGCCTCCAAAATATATCTTTGACTATGTTTTTCTGTTATAATATGTACAATAAATAAAAACATTTTTACTTTTATTATAGTATCTTGTAAGACAAATATATATATATTGTTTAGTGCCTTTAAACTAAATATTTTAAAAGTTATTGATAATCAAAGTTACAAACGTTTGACCTAAACCTTGTCCTACTAAGGCTGTGTTCTAAACTCCCATTTCCCAACTTCTATCTCCTCATTTTTTGCGTGCACGCTATCCAAACTGTTAAACATTATGTTTTTTGTAAAAAGTTTCTATAGGAAAGTTACTTTAAAAAAAATCATATTAATTCATTTTTAAAGTTTGTTTTAGCTAATATTTAATTAATCATGCGCTAATCTGCCGTTTCGTTGGAAACCTTCACTCACAAACTCAGCCTAAGCTAACTGACATGTGCATGGCGGCAAAAAAGGTATGCAAAGTTCTCAAGCATTTTGAGTTCTAACCATTCTCTCAATGCAACAAAGGCATATAACACAACTACCCAAGCACATGCATATATATTTTGTGATTCCATATATTGATATTTGATATCAGTGCCACAGACATATTTAACTCAGTGTGTAGATAATAGAAGCTAAGACAGAAATAGCAGTAAGACGAAAACACAAACCAGCTTTAGAACATCAAGAGCAGTTGAGGCAACAGTATGCGGTCCTCTTTTCTTAATTGACGCTGAATCTCCATGGCAACGCAAATCAACCAAGAGGAACTGCATGAGGAAAAGGCAGGTACAGTTTCTTTCTTTATGCTGTGAAATAAGTCAGATTGCGAGCAGAATTTTAGATAAAGTAACCTGCCACATCGGAAATTCCTGAGCCAGCCTCTTTGCAAAAGATCCTTCAAATCAACACAGTTAATTAATTTTGTGATTAAATGCATTTATACAGCCAAAACAGCTTTAAAATGTGTCAGTATTTCACTCTGCAAACTGAACACAACAACAAACCCAATACACCAGGAAACAAAGTATGCAATAGGAAAGCAAGCACTTCTCAATTACCCCAGTTTTTCCTGCTCCCAAGGATGCCATGAAGGAGAACAGCTGTTGGTGGATCAGGTACTGATTTGTCCATAAATGAGTTCCATTGCACCTGAGGTGAAGTGATGGCTATGAATAGCTTGTCTTACACCATAACATTTGACCATTTAACTTCTAGCTAACATTATTTAACAACTAGTGACATGTCACTGAGTTCGTATGAATGCAATACGTACAAGGCTCCCTTGAACCAGCTCATAGGCCTGCAGGGAATGAACAGAAACGATTTGTCAGCAAGGAATGAAGTTTGTATACTTCTGAAGCTTCAATCTTCCTTACCAAAACTCCACTATGCTTCTGAACATCAGGCTGATAAGCAATCCTTGTGTTGGCCAATGCCATCTGAACACAACGGCATGGAGGGCACAGCAATGGCCTTGATTTGATATTAGTCGATATCAACTGGCCACGACGAACATTTTCCTAAAGCCAAAAAAGCAAAATACACAATCATGATCAGAAGCTCACAAATGCATCAGCAGCTGTAGCAAAAATTCATAACTCAAGAAGGCAGGCCAGTATCCTTGCAGCAAGGTTCTCAACACTGTAAATAATTCGGTAGGAATTTAGAGCACTAAGTTAGCCACCAGACACACTTCCTATTGCACTACACATTATATATAAGAGGACTTTTACGGTACATTCTACTGCTAGTATATACTACCAGTATATTTGATCTAATGGTGTAAATTCATCTGATCTTCCTCCCAAATATCCTGCAGTATAAATTGTTTAGGGTATATTTGTCTTTTTATCTATTTATGTGTGTGTGTGTGTGGGGGGGGGGGGGTTTAATTTTTTAAATTCACGTTTCCTCACTTGGTCAGATCCGATCGATAGCCGCCTACCCAGTCGAAGCCCTTTTTTTTTCTCGATGCTGCGCGCATGGGCGATCGTCGCCGCTAATTTCTTCTGCAAGCTGCCGACGACCACAATCGGCGCCGTCGTTCTTTCTTAATTAAGTTCAATGAATTAAGGACTTGGTATGTGTTAGGGATTCAGACACTTAGAAACTGATCGAACCAAGAAATGTATGAGATAATCCACTTCATTGCTGTGAACAGATCAAATCTATTTACACTATCATGTGGTTTTATCCCTGACCAGTTTTTTCCCTAGTGTTCTTACGCAAATCATGCCCATTGCAAACTCAATCTACTAGATTAAATCCGACCGTCGAAGGAATCGCTACGCCTCCACTCGCGCCGTCGCCACGCGCGATGGGAGCGCTACAACGCCCGGACGACGAGATCGAAGAACTCCCGATTGAATTAAATCGCAAGAAATAAATCTCAATTTCAAATTACTAAACAGCCCTTTTCATAGTTTTAACAAATACCAAATCTACCTTTTCACATACTGCTAGTATATACTTGTGGTAGAATGTACTGTAAAAGTCCTCTATATATAATTACCAAAGCATTATTGCTCACACCTACACTAATAACAGATCACGACCTAAAAAGAGTCTTAAAAACACATAACCGGTGACAATTAGACCCTTTAGTTACCTAACAATGTTTCCCTGTGCATCCTACTCCAAATGATAGGTTTATATATCAGGGAAATTTGTATGAGCACGACAACATAACGACAAACACAATCCACGGTGTGAACTAAACAAAGACTAAGGGTTTTCAAACACGCAAGAAATGTGTACTACAAAAGGTGCACTTAATAGTAATAATGCATTTCTGCTTCTGCCCTGCTTGCATCTGCATTACGCTGATCACCCGGTCGCCACCCGCCTACCACTTTACCAAAAATTGCACCCAAAAGCCTAGCGATTAAGCTCCAATCAATCAACAACAGACGAAAACACCCACAACCCCACAACGCATTATCTCCTAACAACAGTCCATTACTACGAATCTGACGAGCAAGCCAATTCGATCACCGAAAGCAAAGGGGAAATAATGGGTGAGGGGTACCTGGCGAGCGCGCGAGGCGGCGCGAACCCTACTCCCCGGTGACAGCCGCCACGGGGGGACTCCCACGGCGACCGGATCCCTCCTCCTCGGCTCCGCGGAGAGGACGCGCGGCGCCGCCGACGCCGCCGCCGCCATCAGATCACCGACGCAGCGAGAGCGGAGACGAGCGAACTCGGCGTGGCGTTGTCCGTATGCGCGTGCCGTGTCAGCGAAATGGAGAAAAACGGAAAGGAAAAAAAATCGAATTTATTTTCGTGGTGGGGAAGTCGGAGACGGAACAGCGGAGGCGGAGAACCCGAAGAGCGTGACGCTGACGCGTGGGGGCCACCCGTGACATGTGGCGTGCCGCAGCCGGGTTCTGACCTGTGGGACCCGTTTCCGTACCAGGCGGTCCAGCGTGGCGGCGGTGTGTGGCCAGGCCGGTGGGCGGGTAGGCGGGGGGACCCGACTTGTCTGTAGGTTTGGTGGGCCTTGGGCTGGGCTGGGCTGGCCCCACAACAAACGAGCGCAGTTACATGGGCCTCCAGCATAGGCCCGGCATAAAAAATATATTTCACCCCTCCCCTACGCGAGGTTTAATTATCCCCCCACAACCTAGGTTTTCTTTGTGTTGGGTTTACAGCATCTGCGGCGAGATGGAGAAGGAGGTAGAGGAGGAGGAGGAGGAGGAGGAGGCGGAGGCGAGTAGAAAGAAGGGAGAACGCGGATTAGGGGAGGGGGAATGCGGGGCGCCGAGTAGCAAGAAGAGAGACCCCGAATTGGAGTTGCGCATGAAGCAGAAGGCGGCGGAGTGGCACAGGAAGGCGAGGGAGGAGACCCTGAAGGAGATAGCCAAGGAGATGGCCAAGTACCCCAACGAAGACTGGTCCGACACACCGGGCGTCAAGGCTCGCGAGTACCGCGAGGACTGGGAATACCGTTGGTCCGCCATCTTCGGTCCCTACGACACAATCTGTCAGTAATTCATTGATACATTCTTTGATTCCTTTTATATTATATACTCCTTGATAGCATATTGATAGTAATTCATTGGGAGTACATAGGAATTGATTGGATTGGGTTCTTTAGGGTTGATCACTACTTTGTTAGGATTGCATTATCTACTGTATGTATTCTTTGGTTGATTGATACTCGCTACATGCAGCGCCTATACCACCCATGCGCTATACACACCGTAAGGACGACTCTATGCCGAGACATATTTCAGTCCGTCACACTCTGCAGATCATCTCGGTCAAAATAAAGGGAATAAGAGGGGGCTTACAGTGGCCGATCAATGTGTTTGGTCTCATTGCTGCGCGCGACACGATTGACCGCAACCGCATTATGATCTTCAACCGCACCAGGGATAACTGCCAAACAATTACTAAAGAGGTGCACTTTATTTCCTATTGTACATCGTTTTATATTTCTTCCTTTTGCATAATTAAATCATGATTTGTGCGTGGACACACATTGTGCTACTAGTAGTTTTTACTATTTATATATAGAGATATTTGTTGCACTTTATTCCTTGGTTTCTTCATATCAAATTAGCCCACCTCAAATGGACTTTTAGAAGACTACTTATACATGGTGATACAGTTTGCTTGCTTCTAGTAATGCATTGCCATGGCTAAGTATAGGATTTCCACATTTGTTACTTATATCAGAATCATAAAGACAGCTCAATTTACATAGAAAACCATTCCTACCATAACTAAACATACTAATCCGTATTGGTATGGCTATCAAAATGCTTGTGAAGTCTGTGGTACAAATTACTTTGTAAGTTGTTCTAAACTGTGCTCCAAACAAATGAAACTGCATCAATTGCCTACTAGCCATGGAAATTGTGCTGCGTGTCAAATCAAAAGTTTAGCTTTTAATAGATATCTAAATGTGGAAATAGCATCGCTAATAAGCATCCTTGCAAAGCGTTTGTGCTTCCACAAAATGTGTTATATCTTGATGTCTTCTACACGTCAATGGGCAAGTTGAATTTTAGTGTATGATCGATGCATTTTGGTTGCCAATTTAGTGATTATGTTTAACTTTTTAGTGGTATGCCAATAAAAAGATTGATCAAGAGTTAATAGCATGTTGGCGAAAAGTATGATCTATAGCTAACTGAGATTTGTTGAGTACCTGCAACTAACTGCTCTTTAAGAGTTATAGGCCATTTATGTGTGCACCCATGGTGCATAGACAAAATGCACAGGTCAGGCATGCTTCCAGTTTAGGTTAGCATTCTATTCTTCTATATTCAGTACTCCAGTTGCTACTGTTTTGAAATTTTGGATTGAGAATATTATAGGACTATTCGCAAGGCATTGTAGATCGAATATCTGAAATAAGCATGCTTTAATGTGTCTATAGAATATGCACACCTCAACAGATATCCTGTATTTTCTGTCACTAATGTGCCAAGCGAATGGTTCTTTTTGTTTTTTTTATGTTGTGCATGCCGTATCATTTATTATATGCACTTTGCATTTGTATATGGTTTTGTAATGTTTTTGTGCTGCCAAATTTAGCTTTTCTTTGTCATCAGATTTCTTATTGTTTGTACATATTGGTTCACTCAATTTCAAGGTTTCTGAAATATTTCAATTTGCGTGCTGAACCAACTCAATTTATTCGCTAGTGGCAGTGCCCCCTATAAGTTCTTTTTTCTTTTTTGCTGTGGCACCAGACTCCCATTTCATGCTTATTTTCATCAAGTTGCACTTGATGAATGGAGAAAACATCAATGGATAAACTTTCTTTTTATATACATGTAATCATGTCTTACTACGAGCTGGTGAAGTAATATTATTTACTTAATTTGCGCATTGCATGCAGGATCGATATTTATTACTGACAGGTCCTACGCGTGCTGTTGTGGTATCTGACCCTGTGTATTTTGAGGCCCCGCTGAAAGTGAAGGGCTCTGTCGAATCTGAGGATAAAGATTTAAGCTTTTTAGCTGTCCCGCTCACCGGTGCTTCTGATAGAGGTGAAACGCGCTTGGTTAATAGAGAGTACACTAGCAGGCTTAGCACGCTGGAGTTGACATTTGGCTTTGTTGTTGAGTCCTTGGAGGCCTCAATCAGTGTGCGTATCATTGATGGGTCATGGAAAGATGGTTTTCGTGGTGCATTCACTGCCCATACCCCCAGTCTAAAAGACAATAAAGTCCTGCTGCTTGATTCTGGATATTGTGAGATGGTGCCTGTTACTGCTGATCGCATGATCAAGCTTTCACGCCATGTTGTTTCCGTGGAAGGTGAGGGAGACCTGACCGTTTCAGTGCTGGCACTTGGAACTGATAATGTGATAGAAGATGAGAAGGATTTCACGCCTAAGGAAGCCGGTATGAGCCAGAGCTCTCTTGACGTGGGCTTTTGTAAATTGGAAGTAACTGTCAACTGGTCACTTCTTTCCTTGCTTCCTGATGGCTATACTTAATTAAGTACATTGCACAGTGGTATGTGAATTGTGATGTTCCTTTGGATCTGTTGCTTCTGAACTTCTGAAATGGGGTGTTGGTTTTTTTTTCTTTTGTTTACTAGCTAGAATAGCGAACTCTTGATGGACGCGGTATCCTGTGTATAGAATGTTGGCAGTATTGCCACCGCTACGGATAAAGTTCGATTTCCTATCTTGATGAGATTTTGTATTTTATGATGCCCCATTTTCTTGGACAGAATTTGTGGTGGATGAACGGCGCCCCACTTTGTGCACGCGGAGCAATGTGGACATATAATGGAATAAAAGGGGTGATGCTAATGAGAAAATTTCTAGTTTAGATGCCACTTACCGAATCAGCTTGTCGACCACATCTTTATTATTATCTTTACACAACACAAACATATTATCACTAGGAATTTGGTGTTGTCCGTGTTACTAATAATATAGTGTACTGTAATATACTGCAGTCTAGGACAAGTTGGTTTCTTGATAAGCATCTAGGACAAGTTCAGGTGAGCTTCTCGACCAGCTCTGTCACTAGGAATGCTTGGCTGCTTGCAATGAAACTTCTATGCATGTACCCAGATATGTGTTGAGGAAGTTGATTGTTGATTACTTTGGTTACAGAACTTGATCAGGCTTGTCGTTAAGCCAAACTGTAATTCACTTGTGGGTTGTGGCTATGAAGTCTCATTTTGAGCTGAATGTTGGTACATCACTGACATGGCATGCCTTACCTACCTATGGAAAACCAAGATAATCAGGTTGGTTTTCCTATTTCCAGACATTTAATACTAGATTGCAGCAGTAGCATATAAATTATGTTAGGATGCAATTTATTTGTGACCCATTGATTGTACGCTTCTATGCAGACTCAGGTACTATATTATACTATCTGCTTGTTTGAGCTGTGGCCGTATTTATGGGCATTACTAAGGCATGACAAGATCAATTGTTCTATTTAAATTTTGTGTTCATGTTTATAATAGTGGTGCACATTTTCTTCTCTGTATGCTCAACATTTTATAACTAGATTGCTAACTGTTCTTCTCTGTGTTGAAGAAAAAAGTAGGCATACTACGTTGGATGAATAGTATGTAGGATCGCTCATGTATATGCATGTGTAGATGTATTTCCTGTAGTTGTAGGTCTTCTGACTCAGCTTGAAAAAATCAGTTCTGACAGAATTGAGTTTCTGTAGTTCCTTTTTTTTTTTTTGGAATACGCAAGATGCGCATATTTGTATTAAGAGAAATAAAGATTATTTACAGAGTTTTAAAAATGAAAATAAAGAAGGGGACAGGGTACCGGATGGACAACAAAATCTAAGGCCTAATCTCCTATCAAATTTTGTGACCGCCACTCCGTGGTCGGTAGAGGTAACTCCGGCATGGCCGCTTTCGCTAAGCGCCAAAGCTCGGCCTCGGCCGCCATCACCTTTGCCACTTCGACCCAGGTCTTTTGCTGTTGGTTGAAGACCCTGTTGTTCCGCTCCTTCCAAATAGTCCAAGCTATCAAAGCTGCAACGGTGTCGAATCCTCGTCGTTGAGCTTTGGCAACCTTCATTCTCTTGTCACAAAGCCATAAGAGGAAGGAGGGTTCGTTGAATGGCAGTATGTCCGACAAGCCAATTGCTCGGAGTGCGAACCACCACAGTTGACGTGACTCCAGGCATGCGACCAGGAGATGATCAATCGTCTCGTCACCTTGATCACACAGGACGCACCGATCAGGATGTGGTAAACCCCGTCTCCGCAAACGATCGGCTGTCCAACATCTGTTTAGTGCCACTAACCACAGGAAATAGCGGCATCGGGGTGGTGCTAACGACCCTCAGATAGGCTTGTCCTGGAATTGGACCTTCCCCACAAACATGGACTGATAAGCTGAGCGAGCTGGGTATTCTCCTGACGACTCCCATCTCCAGATGATTGAATCCGGCTCTTCCGATAGGGCATCCAAGGATTGCAAAGATGTCCACAAGCTGAGGTACTCTAGGATAGCTTGGATTCCCAAAGCCCCAGATATATCCCGGATCCATGTTCTACCTTGGAGTGCTTCGCGAACCGTCCTACGATTCCGCTTTCTTGCTACGACCGCTGCATGCACAGCCGGCGCAAGGGTGCGGATTGACGACCCTTGGATCCAGTTGTCTTCCCAGAAGAGCACGTTCATTCCATTGCCGACTCGACATGTCAAAGAGACTTGGAGCAGGTTCCTCTCCTTTTGCGAGATTGGAACGTTGAGTCCATGCCATGGCTTTTCCGGCGATGTCCTCAGTTGCCAAGCCCAGCGGCACCGGAGTGCAAGTCCCATGCATTCAAGATCAGGGACACCCAATCCACCATACGATTTGGGTGCACAAACCCGTGCCCAAGCGACCCGGCAGCTTCCACCACTAGCGCTTGCTTTCCCGGACGGGAGGAAGCCGCGACGGACCTTATCGATTCCCTTTATCACCCACTTTGGCACATTGATGGCCATCAGCAGATAGATCGGTATTGAGATTAATACCGCATTTACCATAGTGACTCGACCAATGGGCGCCATCTGCTCTGCCTTCCATACCGGCAACCGACGGGCTATTTCTGTAGTTCCATTGTATGACTGTACCATATCTACTTGTATCTCATTGAACATTGAGGGAAAAATTAAAGTACAAACAAAACAAGGAGGAAATTTTTCATGGTTCCTAAGGCAGCAATGTCAAGCTGGTCCTCTCTGCACATTCCTTCTTGAGAATTGAGATAATTGTTTTTATGGTACATGTATCACAATCTTAATCTCCATGTCTGCATGTTGTCCCCTTTTGGCTTCTGCATACTTATCTCTGAAGAAACAGGCATGAAACTTGTCTGTTGCGGAGTATTCAGACCTTATGGATGGGAAGGAATCCCAGAAAAGGATGGTGTCATCACTTAAGGTTTTCAACTACTCCTATACTGATGCCATACGATCTTTTATTTGTATTCTAGCTGCATTTATATTTTTTTGGTGATATTGATAAGGCCATTGTCTGAAAGACCTTTGGTGATATCCTGGCATCATATCTACAGTACAATGCTGGGTTTTAGCAGCCTCAGCCCTCAGTATGATGTGCAGAGTGCAGTGCAGGTTAACTGCAAGCGATGTCTTTTTAGCACTATGCAATGGAGAGGATATGAAGCTCCTCCATCTTATGTACTAGTACTTTGTTTCTGTAATGAATAATCCCTTTCGTTCTCAACTGCTAATGCTACAAAATGATTAGACTACTGTCCATTTCACACCCTGCTTCACCAACTAAGGGCACATTGCACAAACACAAAATTCTGTTCTTGACATGTGATTAAGGTGTTCTTCAGATTGATATCATTTCAAACCATAATTTTTTTTTTGGTAAAGTTTCAAATATGTGTATATATTTGGTTTCTTACCAACTTTGGTAAAAAAATACATAAGGAATTTGGCAACTACGTAGTAGTGGCTATCCTGCCAAAACCTGGCAATATTGCCAACTTACAAAAATTTATTTATTTTGGCTACAATCTCAACAGCCCTAATTTATATGCAAATAAATTGTTCCTGCCTTATAAATCTCTGCGGTTATCTTTTTTCCTCCTGTCATGTTTTGGAGTTCACACTTTACAGGAGCAGTTATCAGTTTTCCTCTATCTCTTTCTGAACCTTTTATTCTCTTTCCAGATATTGGCAACTGCAAATTCTACAATTGTCTATTCATATATCCAAAGCATGTTCTCTGAACAGTTACTTGGGAGAGCATGCAGATGATATCAAGTGTAAGCTTTTCAACAAGAATTTGTTCTGATCCTCACATGTCTAACACAATGATGCCTCTCACCGAATGCATTCAGCATAACATTTCCTTTTCCCATTTCATTTTCTTCAGACATCTCTGAAGTCTGCACCTGTACTGGGATAATGGTGGGGAGAGGAGTACGTGGAGAAACTGATTTCAGGTACGCAAAAATATAATAAGAAATTTGGGCCCCCGTCTTGACTGATTGAAAGGAAAAGCCCAACAACCTATCCCCATCCATGCCTCACACGACAATGTTCTTTTTTTTTTCTCGGCAGACTATTAGGTAGTGATAATTTTTTTTTTTTGAGAACTAGGTAGTGATAATCTCTCCCTGGAAATCATAACCGTACTCACCGTGAATCATATGGTGGTGAAATATTCACCACTATTTTCGTTTAGAAGTCATATCTTTACCACATTACCATTTTGACTGCACGTTTTACGGTGATCTCCATGGAAACTATACAGTTTCTCATGAAATGAAATTCCTACATTTTGAATAAGCTCTAAGGCATCATTTGAATGGTGGAGTTTTAAAAAGACTTGGAGAAACTGAACAAAATTCTACAAAAATCATGTAAAATTTATGTATTCCAAAGAATCTCTAAGAAGGCGTGGACGCTACATTTTTCTCCAAAGAAAAGTGCATCAACAATCCTAGATAGCTACTCTTCATGTTCCATATTATAGGTCATATTAGATTTGTTTTAAGTCAAACTTCTCTAATTTTGATCGAATTTATAGAAAAATGCACCAACATGTACAATGACAAATAAATGTATTATTATCGATGGATTTAATGAAACTAATTTAATATTATAGATGTTAATGACTTTTTTTAATAAACTCAGTTAAAGCTAAAAAAAGTTTAACTTAGGACAATACTAAAATGACTTGCAACATGGAACATAAGGGAATAGTGTCACGCCCAGAAGTTTCCCCCTTTTTTCTTGCTTTAAATATTTGTTAAATAAATCGTCCGAAGAAATTATCTTAATTAACCTAGAGCTAAATCCCTAGTTAATAAATGCAATTAATAATCAGAAATAGCGTGGTGGAATTTTTTTTCTTGAGTCCCCCATGCTCCAATGCATTAACAAGATTTTTAGTGGAATTTTCAGAGCCTTGGAAATAATTTTAACCAATTAAAAATCACCAAAGTGCAATATTTAATCCCAGGAAAATCCTTCTTCTCTTTTTCTTTTCTTTTCCTTCCTTTTTCTCTAGATGGGCCGTCGGCCCATCTCTCTCCCCGCGCTCGGCACCCCTTTCCTGGGCCGGCCCGCTCCTCATTTCCCCTCCCCGAAGTCCTCCCTCCCTCCCTTTCTCTTTCGGGCGCCGACAGGTGGGGCCCACCTGTCGGTCGTCCCCTACCTCCGGTCATTGGAGCCGGAGCTCCAACCGCCCGCGCCGCCGCCTTCTCCGCTCCACGTCGCGCCTCCACTCCGCGCTCGCACCTCGCGCCCACGTCGCCGCCCTCTCCCCCGCATCTCCCGCGCGCGCGCCCGCAAGTGGTGGGGGATTTGAAATCCCCCAACACCCTCTCTCTCTCCTCCACCTCTCCACGTCGCCGGCCAAATAGGGGCCATCCCCGGCCGTTTCCGCCCCTCCCTCGCCCATAAAAACCCTCACTCGAGCTCTCTCTCTCTCATTTCCCCCATTCACCGTCCTCTCCCACGCCCTCTACCGCCGTAGCGCCGCGCTCGCCGAGCTCCGCCGCCGCCGCCCATCTCCGGCCGCATGCCGTCGCCACTAGGGCCGCCGCCGCGCCAAGCTGCCGCCGCCGCTAGCTCCGCCGCCGTGTGGGCCATCTCGGCCACCG